ATGGGACAACAAGAGGGCGAGTAGCGATGCCGCATCTGCCTTCTCCACCATCAACAGAGCCAGGTACTCGGTTACAAGCCGCCCTTCCCGGATGAACGTGGCAAACACGATCATGTGCTTGCCACGGCAACGATCAGTGCTTTCGTCGAGGCTCAGGCCAATGTAGGGACTCGCCAGCAGGTGTTGGAGTTGAGTCGTCTGCAGCCACGTGGCCGTCGCTTGTGTCAGCTCGCCGAAGTCGTACCTGTTACATGACACGCACAATGCAAGTTGTTGTAAGTTTCATATCTAAAGACGAAACATAGCGAAGTTCATAGTCACTGGAGTTCTCACCAGTTATAGTACGTGCCGTAGGCAGACTTCGGGAAGCCCTTGAAACTGCGCGATGAGAGGTATCGCACCAAACAAATCCAAGTTTCCATGGGTTCGTTACACTTGGCGCAGAAGTAGAGGGAGTCGAGCAGCGCGATGACTCGCTCCTTCTCTTCGTCGGCCGCGCGGGGATGCAGGTCGATCCGCTGCTGGTTAGACGCCTGTTGCAGGAGATCGTCCTGCTTGGACATGGCGAGGCGATGCTTCTGCGTCCCGGCGTGCTTCTTGAACGACTGGGTCTGCACGCCCTTTGCTCCCTTGCCCGATTTGCCGGTACGCTCTGCAGGTCCTGCATGCACTGCGCATACACTACACTTGAAGGCCGGGAGCCCATCATCAGTTTTCAAAAGCATGAGCCAAGGGAATCTGTCAGACCAGCGAGATTTGAAACGCTCTTGTGCCTCAGCATAGATGTCCTCGTTCATTTTTAGCAGTGGACCTACCGCCAGGCGATTCTGGCAAGTCCGCATGTACAAAGGGGCTCGGCACAGGCTCAGGCGGATCCTGGCATGTCGACGTTGAGGCGTACGACAGAATCACCTGCCTGTACCGGAACCTCTTCGCCGCCGTCACCGACAGCGTGGTGCCGGCGACAGGAGCTAAAGCAGCGGGCAGGGTTCTTGCCCGCTGCATCGGGAACAGGTGCATCGCCATCAGCAGGGGCAGCGTCACCAGGCTTCCTCTGAGGGCTACGATCTGAAGCATCCGACTGCCGCAGGAACTTTAGTGCGGCCGGACCATCGCGGAAATTCTCGGCACACCTGTACTCTTCGTCTGGTTCGTCATAATCTGCCTCGTCTACGTCCTCATCGAGGTCGACTTGCTCCATGGCCTGCAGGGGCGTGGTGGGAAAACAAACGCACTGAAAGAAAACCGAGGGGCTACACGAAACTTGGCTGAAGTTTTGCTGGAGGGGGGAGAAGCAGGGTCGTTTTCCCCGTCAGTAAAGAACCGATGGAGAAGGAGGGGGTCTGCCAGCTGCAACTCCATCGCAGCGTGCGAGATGCTGTCCATGCATGAATGAACTAGGCACTCGTTTTAGCATGGGTGCGGTGCCTCGGTTGCTGTGCCTCACCCAACAAAATGCCTCAGGATTGGCGCAAACAACCGTGTTTTGGTCAAGGACCAATCAGCTGCTCGGGCTATCTCTGTGCTGGCGCCATCGCACAAAATTTGCCCTCCCGACGGCTCGGGCCGCGCCAGCGCAAATGTAATTCTGGCGTGATTGACGGTGACGACCGAGGTACCAACGCAAATCTCGCAACCCCCCGTAAAATGATGGTATTACAGGAATCAGAGTCCCCCCCCCATACAAGGATGAAGCATCAGAGTACACTTGTCAAAGAAGACTGAAAAATTAGTGTAGCTACATAAAACTTTTCTGAAAAATCAGAGTAACATAGAAAAAAAGTCTTTGGAATCAGAGTACACCCCCAAGAAAACTCTGAAAGAAGTCTGAATCAGAGTAAAAAGTCTGCAATTTGGGGGCCTGTTCCCTAGTACCCTCCATAGAGAGAGAAGAGGTTCGACAGGGCTATCCCAGTTCTGCGACTCTGCTCGCCCTCCAACAATGCAAGGTGAGTTGTGTGTAACTACGTACATCATCCAGGTTGAATATGGTATGATATACGTATGTTTTTTTTCCAGGTTTGGTAGAAAGCAGCTCACAACAATAACACGGAGTGGGGTGGGATGTAGACGGGTGTTTATGACATCCCCCAACATCCGTTATAGGTTCAGCATGTTACTTAGCGTTTTGGGAAACCACAGCTCGATGGATGTCACCAGGTAGTTTGAACACGCCCGCAGGAGATCCCCCTTTCCTCCCTTCCCCAAGCCTCCCCCGTTCTTCCCATGTTTCCTAACGGATTTTTTTGCCAATTGCGGCGAGCCAGCTCATTGTTGCCCCCATCCATAGCCTCCGTATCCAATCAATGCAATCTGGCGCGAGGCCCATCGACATCTAGGAGGCTCCCGCCAGCCATTTCCGCTTTCCTTTCGTGAGTGACAACAAGCAACCGAATCACTCTTGCTTGGCCCAGTCACACGTGAACAGCCCCGTGTGGTCCCATCATCAAACCATCCCACATGCCATCCCGCCAGGCCAGATGCGTTGGATACACGTACTGTACACCTGCTCCTTGGTAATTTTCAGCCCTGGTAATTTTTCATCCGCCGTTTCGCCGTAAGAGCCAGGTTTAGCATCCCCTAGGGCATCCTCTAGAAAACAAACGAGCTTGGACTTCTCTCGACCTTGGTTTAAACAATGTTTACAGCGTGAAGTCCCCTTTCCTTGATACTGTTGTCAGACTCACGCCTTTCTAGTGGAGACCGCGATGCATTGTCTCGAGCGGGAATGCTCTGCGGACACAGAAATTGTCAGGGTGGCGACAAACCTTACTACTGCTCCGTAAAGAAGTTATTTTCATGCACAACAAATGGCCAGTGGCAGCATGGTTCTGCAGAACAAAAGCATCAGCGAGTTGGTGGCAACGAGAGAAAAACTGTAAATTACACTTAATTTCCAGCGCTCAGCTGACAATTTTTGAAGCGGTAGCGGATTCTGACGAGCGCGTATGTTCCTCGTCTTCGCCAATGGCGACGGGGGACACTAAATGGTCATGCTGGTAACCCTTCCAATTGCGTAGGGGTACTGTGGGTCGCAACCTTCGTGGCGTTTGGGTTCATCAGAGGCTCACGGATGTCGTCGCCTGCACGCTAATACCCGACGCTGTCGTTACAAAGCAGAACGCGTCGGTCTGTAATGGCTGAGCATGTGCTCAATACCAGGCAGAAGTTGAGCAAACGCTTATCGAGGAAAATTCGTTTTAAGTCGACAAAAGACGCAAGCTGCACATGAAGGGACGGCCAACCACGTGCACCACTCGAAGTGTTCGAAGCGTGCGGAAAGGGTTTTGATTCGTGTCGTTTCTGCACATTTTTTCCCTTGTGAAGGTTATAAATGTACAGTGGTATCCATCCTTCACAAGCAAATCGGGCAGGCCGGAGGCATATGTTATCAGGACATTTGCCCTGACCTGAATGAAATTATAAGACGATTTTCATACCAGCCCTGATTTTATCCGGGTCGTTTGCCCCAGCCATGACAGAATCCGGGAATTTCTCAAGGCGACCATGGCAACTTCGAGAAATTTCAGTGACCCTGATTATTTCCACTACCCATACCTCGCCCCCTTCCAGGTGCCCCCCCCCCTCCAGAATACAATTTTCTCCCACTTTCCTAATACCCGTCACTCGTCCTAGTAGCTCCCAGGCCACTAGTTGGGAAGGAGTCATCCCCACACACCCCTTGAGCACATGTGACTCCGATGAGCCATGGACGTGGAACAACCTCAAGTAAAATCCTTCGAAATGTGTGCCCTCCGAGCATTTCTTCGGCTGGCCCTGAAACAACAGGGCAATGCAGATTCGGATCCTGGATTTTCAGGGTTAAATTTGAAGAGAGCACTGAGCGCCAGAGCTGTTAAAAACCCTAACACAAGCCCGAGTTTCTCCCCTCCCACCACGCCCTTGGGTTTGAGTGGCTGCCTTGTGCTCCAAGTGTGCTACAGTGCATTGCAGAACCCATGTGCCCAGTGGGTCTTGGAGCGATCTGGGGGAGTCCATTCGTGCACATCATGGTGACGACAGCGACCACATCTGTAACTTCGACGTTACTTCATCCCCTCTTGTGTGGTTGGAGCACAACGAGGCAAATCAAATCGATTTCAGCTCGTACGTGTCAAGCTTTGCACATTTTAGCTCTTGATTTAGAATTACAACGGGCACATTCAAGGGAGACACAACAACAAGTAATGAATAAAAAATCGAAGCGAAGTTTCTACTGTATACTGTATTTCTGTACACTGTCAGAACTTCGAGCCTCGTAACCTCCATTTTCATCCCTTGCATGGTTGGCTCTGCAGCAGCTTGCACCAATTGCATGCGTGGCACGTGTGGCTCATTCTCATTTCTGAAATTTCGCACGAGTTGAAAACACCTTCCTTCGTCGTCATCACTTCTGCATGGGTTCGTGCGGGAGTCCCCGTCTGGCCAAGCGTGCGCATATGAGTGGCGGACTGGTTTGGCTGTTCCACTGCGCGCTTTTCACAGCCAATGCGCAAAACCCCCTTTCTCAGGTATTTTCCAGTTGTGCCAAGTGCGCAAGGCGCATGGTTTGGTTTGGTTGCTAGCAATCGTCTTTTCGCCAGATCCACCTCCACCTGCACGAGCACCCGCGAATCCTTCGCGCACAGAGTGGTCTTCGCTTGCTACCGCCACAGTGGCGCATGTCGTCAGCATTGGCGCGCTATGGCGGAATCTTCTCGTCGTGAGAAATCTGCATCATCCTTGAAATTCTGAGTTTGGCTCCGCCCTGCAAATTGTCACGTGCAGTTCAATCCGCGCGCAGCCCCCACCCAATCCCCGCTGTGATTGGACATGGATGAACCACCCCCCCCACAGTCCCCGCGGAGAAGTACACGCGGATTTCTCAACTCGGGTGTCTCCCCCTCGCCCTCGCCCCCAACCCAACATCCTCCGCCAGTCTACTGTTTCAAGGTTGTGTTGGGCTCACCCAGATAGAGTTGTCCTTCCTCCAGCAATCTCACCTCCCCTTACATACCTCCCACTGTGGTATCTGTGACTTCCTCCACTCCCACATCTCACCTCCACTCTCAGCCTTCTATATTTCCGCTTGGTTGTCTACGATTTTGCGTTTTTCCAGCTTCTTTCTTTCTGGTCTTACCACAACTATCACTTTCCTTGCCATCGAGGGTCTTCCTATTGTATAGGCTTTTGGACCTTCTGCTAGTATTAGCTGCTTAGGGTTTCAGCCATGGATTTGGCGACGAGTTATGCGGACGATGTCGAAGAGGATTCCAAGCAGTTTCAGAGGGACAGCAACCGGCCTACACAATCCAATCGCGGCATGACAGCTCAACGGCTGCCGACGTGGAAGGAGCGGGAGAATAACAAGCGGAGGGAGCGTAGACGCCGGGCCATTGCAGCGAAAATCTTCACCGGCCTGCGGACCTACGGGAACTTCGACCTGCCGAAGCATTGTGACAATAACGAAGTGCTCAAGGCGGTGTGCAAAGAGGCCGGCTGGATTGTCGAGGAGGACGGGACGACATACCGAAAGGTACACCGTTAATAGTCACGACCATTCAAATCGCCATCCTTCCATTTCTCTCCGGCGTACCAAACTCCTTCACTCATCATCTTGCTTCGTATGGGCATAGCCTCCAATATGTCATTGTGTATTTTTCTCGCCGTTCTAAAAATTTCTCCATCCGTATGTGTTCGTGTCCCCGTTACAGGGCCAGCCTCGACCGCAGCAACCCGAAGCGTCAGCAGGGATCGACTCCGCCTACAGAGCGGATAGCCGCGTGCAAGCTTACGCTTCGTCAAATGGCAACGCCCTCGATAATACCGAACCCGATCACCCAGCATCTACCGCGGGAGACAGTGACCCTGGGATGTCCGCGAATGGCTGCGTTATCCCGATGCACGGGAGGGATGCCGGGCTTGGCGCCGGTGCTGCTTTAAGCGCCGCCGCTGCGCCGATGGCGGAGGTGAGACCTGCTCCCGGGGGAGGAAACGCTCGTGGTTCCGGAACTTCGCAGACTGGCGGAGCGGCGCTGGCAGGCGGGGGAGCGCAGACAGGCGGGACTGCAGCGCCTGCTGCGGAGCTGCTGAAGCTGATGTCCGCGCTCGCCGCCTTCCCCGCCGCGGCGGCGCAGCTTGGCGCAGCGCTGAATTCTTCCGCCGCGTCTCTCGCCGCAGTTGCTTCGTCCATCGGCCTTCCTCCGTCAACTACCACTTCATTGGACGTCCAGCAGGTTCTCATGCTGCTCTCTAAGGGAGGCGCTACTAACGGTGACCAGTCACCTGGTACTCGACCGCCTGTTCCCACGTCATCCGGCATACCGTCAGATCTCTACTCTCTGCTGCAATCGTCGCGTTCCTCTGCTGCGCCGTCCTTGGCGCTTCATAGACCTATGGCTCCTGTTCAGTCAGCCAATCCCGTCGCCCCGTTACTTCCGCTACAGCAACAGCAGCAGCAGCAGCAGCAGCAACATCATCATCATCAGCAGCAGCAGCAGCAGCAGCTTTTCGCTCATCAACAACAACAACAACAACAACAACAACAAACAACAACAACAACAACAACAACAACAACAACAGCAGCAACTGCTTCTGGGCCTGTTGCAAGGCGCTTCCAACGTCGGCCAATCATCAGCATCTTCCGCTCTAATCCCCGCCTCTGCTTCCCCCACTGACCGCGCGGTACCTGCGCCTGCTACTTCCGCCAGCGGCAACTCCAGCCTGGGCGCGGGGAACAGCATTAGCCCGCAAGGCGGGAGCGCTACGCGCGGCGGAGCGCTGGGTCCGCAGCGGACGGTGGAGTTTAAAGCGCCTGGAGCGAAGGACGCGAGATGGGGTGCGGGAGTGAGGCGAATGGCGACGAGCTGGGATGTGGAGGCACCTATGAAGCCACCCCCTGTGATGCGCTCAGACGATCTCGAGCTCAGCCTTGGCCTGGGGTTATGCAAACGGTAAGGAGGGGTGTGGTTGCATATTCACCCTTTCATGGTCACGTTGATGCTGTTGATTGTGTGGGTGCCAGTTTTGCCAGCTTCTTTAGAGGGGTATTTCCAGAACGACCACGAAATTGGGGAGCGCTAAGCTAGGTCGTCAGCAGCTGTGCATTACAAGCAGGATACCAGGAACTGACCGTTTTTTCCTGTGTCTCTCGTGGCACGTGCTGTTACACCTGTTGAGACGATTAAAGCTACCTTATTACTTGGCGCTTGACACCTTGGAAGCTGGGATTGTACTCCCAGGCTTCGTGCTTGTAGATGTGCTACTGTGTTGGGTTTCCCTTCTGCCATTGTATTTTGGATGCGCTTTCCATAAATAATTGTAGTCCATTCGTAATTGGATTCGACCGAACCGGAATCCCAGAGTGTCACAAGATAGTATCAACGCGAATGTGGTAACCTGCTACGAATTTCCTCGCTTGGGCTTCAAGCTTCCCGCCACAATCATCCCCTCACGGCAGCAGCTGTTGCAGCAGCAGCCTCCCCTTTCCGATCCCCCGGCACTGTCATTCCCGCCACCCCGTCACTCACGAGTCACGACGAGTCGCAACTATCGCTTCACCTTGACGCTTTCCCCCCTTGCAGTGGCACTCCCGCGCCCACCCCCCTCCCCCCGTCCCGCTCTTCCTCCCCCCCACCTCACTCCCGCTACCTTCCGCCTCCTCCTGCACCTTTCCGCAGCACAAGGTGGCTTTTTGAATTTCGAAACTCCCAGTTCAAACACACAAACCAGAGTGCCATGCCATGCCATGCCAAGCGTCTCCCTAGAGCCATGGCAGATAATTCAGTGGTGCATCTCGAGTAGCCCCTGCTGCTGCTCGGGCCCAGTTGATACCGAGCTGAAGAACAGCGCGTCTCCTCGTCGCATTCGTGCTGCTGCTCGTCGCACACACAGCATCCTAGCACTCTTCGTATTGCTTATTCTAGTTGTACCGTCAAACGAGAAGCACTGGCTTTCTGCTTATGAACCACCCCAGTCAGTTAGTGAGCGCTTTCTGCTTATGAACCACCCCAGTCAGTTAGTGAGCAATCTTACTTCTTAGAGCAGTAGATAGTTCCCATGGCGAGCTTCGGGACTCCCGAGGCTTTCGAGGCCATGCGCGCGGTTCTAGGCGCCGAACCGTCCGAGACGTCTCTATTCCGAGCCCTTTACCTCGCGCGAGGCGACGTTGCCAAGGCTATTAACTACCATTTAGACCTAGTATATGTTGAAAAGATCACGGTCGAGCAGTTAGCTTCATCGCGACACCCGCTTCCTCTCCCTCCCCCTCTCCCTCCCCAACCCTCTCCCCCTCCCCCTCCGCGGGAGCAGCGCGAACCAGCGTTGGCGCTTCCGCCACCCGCTTCGCCGCCCACTCCTCCGCACCCCGCTTCCGCGAACACTCCGTCCCCCTCCCCTAGTCCCGCTTCTGTCGCCGCTGCTTCCGTTGATAGACAAGCGATCGGAGCGGAGAATGTGTCGGAAGAGGCGGAAGAGGCGGAAGCGGCAGAAGGGGGAGCCACAATAGGGGAAACCGCAATGTCGGGAGCGCGCTTAACCACCGATCCCGCGCAGTGCGGAGGGGCACACGTCGCGCCGTTCGCCGGCGGAGACTCCGCAACACGTTCCCCTTGCGTTGCGCCAAACGACGGCGCAGGATCACCCGCGGCTTCCCCAGTACCAGCCGCAGAGCCAAGCATTTCCCCAGACAGCATCCGTGAGCCCGTGCGTCCTGATGCGGAACGTCAATTCGAGCGGAGCGGAGTGATCGGCGGAGCCCCCGCGGTGGGCTCGCCTTGCGCTTCCGCTTTCCCCCACGGCGCGCCAAACTATGGTGCAGTGTCGCCGTCAGTACAGCCGGCAGTCTCGCCGTCAGTACTGCCTGCAGTTTCGCCGGCAGCGTCAAGCATTCCTCCGGACTGCAAGGACGAGCCCGTTTCCACCGTGCTACCTCTATCTACTATGCCGCCCGTATCCACGGTAAAACCCGAATCTGCAGTACCGCCGGTTGTTACTGTTCCGCCCGTATCTATGGTACAACCTGCACCAGTCCCATCGGTGTCTACAGTACCACCTTCACCAGTTCCACCCGTATCTTCAGTCCCAGAGCAACATCCAGTCCCCACCGACCCCCCCCCGCATCCGAAGCTAACGAGGCAGCTGAGGGAGGAGAAGGCGGAAGCGTCGCGCTGGTGGCTCCTGGGAGAGTGCCACGTGTCATGCCACTCGCTGACACGTGGTGCAAAGCTGGAAGAGTTCGACCTCGTGGATTTTATCTTTCCGAAAGGCGAGGGGGGCGGAAGCGCGGGCGCAAAAGGGGGCGTGATGGAGGGCAAGAAGGCGCGCGGACGGCCCAAGGGTTCAGGCAAGGGGAAGTGGAGCAAGTTTACCCGAGAGGCGCCTTCCGGGGGGAGCTCCATCGTGCGCTTTGGGACGGCCAGAGGGGGGGAGGTAAGCGCCGTTTCCCCCTGCTCCGTTTCCGCAACCCCTCTCCCTTCCCCTCCCCAAGGGGAAGTGGCGCAAGGCATATACTCGCGGGGCATCTTCTGCTGGGAGCTGTATCGTCCGCTTGGGACGGCCTAAACGGGGGAAGTAAGCGCCCTTTCCCGGTCATCCACTTCCGCCCCTGTGCCCCCATCCCTCTCCCTTTCCCCTCTCCCTTTCCCCTCCCCCTCCTCTCCTCGCTTGTCCCCCTACCCCTCCTCTTCCTACCTCACCTCGCCCTTCCCTGGCGCGCCTCCCTCCCCTTCCTTCCCTGCCCGCCAGATCGGCTCTCTCCCGCGCGAGTGGGCGGCGGCGCTGATCCCGCTGGTGGCGGAGGAGAAGGTGAAGATCCGCGGATACGTGCGCGATGCCCCGCCGTACCTCGAGATTCTCTCCGCCATCGTTCTCAACGTCAGGTGCGGCGTGACTGCTGAGGTGTCAGGTGCGGCGTGACTGCTGAGGTGTCAGGTGCGGCGTTACTGCTGAGGTGTCAGGTGCGGCGTGAGTGTTGAGTCCAGATGTCAGGTGGCAGGTACGTTGGCTCTTTGAGTCTGCCCCGGCACACCTCGAGATTCTCTCCAGCATCGTTTCTCAACGTCACGTGTGTTCCTCTGAGGTGCTTCACAGCGTGCACGCGTTGAATGCGAGCACAGACAGACAGACAGACAGACACCTCACCACAGGTGAGGGGTCTATTGTCGAGACTGCTTTTGAGGCGCCTCAAAAGATTTCTCTCTCCAGCATCGTTTCTCAACGTCAGGTGTGTTCCTTTGAGGTGCTTCACAGCGTGTACGCGTTGTGTGTGAGCACGGATTTGAGGCGCCTTGAAACTAGACTCCTATCAAAGCGTGCAGGCGTTGTATGCGAGAACAGACAGACAGACACACCCCCCCCCCCTCCCCCCCCCAGCTGGCCCCCACATGGATTCACTCGATTGTCGTTCGCTCTTGTTCCCTCCTCCGCGCTCGCTGCCAGGGTGTATGTGCAGCAGCGCTGCTTTCAGAAGCTGAACCGGGTCAAGGAGCGGGCAGTGGATGCCTTGTATGTCAGCACGCACGGCCGCCACTTCACCATGCTGCTGCACTGCTTGGGGCTCCAGCCGTCACGCCAGGTGGGTGGGTAGCAGCTAGTTTTGAGGCGCCTCAAAACCAGGTGGGTGGGTAGCAGCTCTGTAGTTTGAGTTGTCTCGCCACGTGGGTGGCACATGTGCATTGAGCCGACACGAGGAGGAAATGTCCATGCAGAGGACACGAGGAGGAAATGTCCATGCAGAGGACACAAGGAGCCGACTCGCCCGGTGGGTGGCAAATGCTGGAAACTGAGTGTGTGTGTAACCCGCTCCGCTATAAACAATTGCAAACTGCAGTCGACCTTGAGGGTGCAGTGAATGAAGGGTGCAGTGAATGAAGGGTGCATTGTTATTGAGGAATGGCCTTTTCGATTGATGCTTTCGAGGATGCTTAGATTGATCACGCACAGTGCCTTGCTTTAGAATCAGGCATAGCGCCTTGCCTTGTAATCGCCCTTACCCCCCCGCCCTCCCCCCTCCCTCTCCTCTCCCCCCTTGCCCGCTGCTCGTTCCCCCCCTTCCCCTCCTCCTCCTGCTGTTGCAATCCCTCCCCTTCTCAGGCGGAGTTCACCCCGGCGGACTTCAACCACCACACGGAGCCTGACCTGTCATGGAGGTGCCCCTTGTAACCCACCTGAATATCTCCCCGCTCCTCTCTCCCTCCCCTCCCCCCCCCCCCCCCTTCTTTATCTGCTGCTGCGATCCCTCCCCTTCTCAGGCCGAGTTCACCCCAGCTGACTTCAACCACCACACGGAGAAGCTAGGCTTTTCTGACCGGGTAAGCGGCTTGGCGTGCTGAGTGGATATACAGCTTGGCATACGGTGGCTGGCGTGCTGGCCGGGTAAGCAGGGTGCCTTTGCTGATTGCTGACTGGACAAGCATCTCGGATTTGGTTTGAGAGGCTAAGGAACTACTCGCATACGCTCTACCGTGCACACTCATCCGTTGTTGCTGTTCCCACTGCCTGCTTTCCGTCGGCCAGCAGGCGGCATCAAGGTTGCTAGATTGGATTTATTTCTCAGAGTAGAAAAAATGACTCCCCAGCCATCTGCTGCTGTCGCATTGCACCCCTGCCCTCGTTCCGTCTGCCAGCAGGCGGCGTCAGTGGATTGCGAGCGGTGGGAGGCTCGCTGGATTGGAGTCATTCCCACTGCCCGTGTTCCGTCTGCCAGCAGTGTTTGGTTTTTGAGAATTCTCAAAACCGTTTTCAGAGTCCTGAAAGATGACTTAAACTCCTATCGTCTACCACTCACACTCATCTGTTGCTGTTCCCACCGCCCGCCTTCCCTCTGCCAGCAGGCGGCTTCAGTGAGAGTGCGAGCGGTGGGGGCAACGGCGTCAGCAGCAGGAGGAGGCGGAGGAGGAGGGGGGGGTGACAGCAAGGAGGGGGGAGAGGGAGAGGGCAAGGCGATTACGGATGAGGAGGTGAATCGGTATGTGGGCGTCAGCAACAACCAAGTGCTGCCGGTGAGTGGGGAATGTCTTGGGTCAGCATTGCCTGCGAGGTGACTTTTGAGTCGATGCCACCTGGTAAGGTGGGGGGAGAGGGAGAGGGCAAGGCGACCACGGATGAGGAGGTAAATCGGTATGTGGTGCTGCAGCTCTTGTTATAGTGCCTGCTACAGCTCTTGTTGTAGTGCCTGCTACAGCTCTTGTTATAGTGCCTGCTACAGCTCTTGTTGTAGTGCCCGCTACAGCTCTTGTTGTAGTGCCCGCTACAGCTCTTGTTGTAGTGCCTGCTACAGCTCTTGTTATAGTACAGCTCTTGTTATAGTGCCTGCTACAGCTCTTGTTGTAGTGCCTGCTACAGCGCTTGTTATAGTGCCTGCTACAGCTCTTGTTATAGTGCCTGCTACAGCTCTTGTTATACTGCCTGCTACAGCTCTTGTTATAGTGTCTGCTACAGCTCTTGTTGTGGTGCCTGCTACAGCTCTTGTTATAGTGCCTGCTACAGCTCTTGTTATAGTGCCTGCTACAGCTCTTGTTATAGTGCCTGCTACAGCTCTTGTTATAGTGCCTGCTACAGCTCTTGTTGTGGTGCCTGCTACAGCTCTTGTTACAGTGCCTGCTACAGCTCTTGTTGTAGTGCCTGCTACAGCGCTTGTTATAGTGCCTGCTACAGCTCTTGTTATAGTGCCTGCTACAGCTCTTGTTATACTGCCTGCTACAGCTCTTGTTATAGTGTCTGCTACAGCTCTTGTTATAGTGCCTGCTACAGCTCTTGTTATAGTGCCTGCTACAGCTCTTGTTATAGTGCCTGCTTCAGCTCTTGTTGTGGTGCCTGCTACAGCTCTTGTTACAGTGCCTACTACAGCTCTTGTTGTAGTGCCTGCTACAGCTCTTGTTATAGTGCCTGCTACAGCTCTTGTTATAGTGCCTGCTACAGCTCTTGTTGTAGTGCCTGCTACAGCTCTTGTTGTAGTGCCTGCTACAGCTTCTGTTACAGTTCCTGCTGCAGAGCATGGGACCTTGCTTCTCTGACTTGACTCCCCTCCCCTCGCTGTCCTTCCCATGGCTCCCCCGCAGGAGATGGAGCCTCCCCCGGGTGTGACCTCCCAGCTGCGGTGCTATCAGAAGCAGGCGCTGCACTGGATGCTGTCGATGGAAGCCACCGGGCAGGCTGTCTCTGCCCCCGTTCCCGCCACCGGCCAGTTGGTCAGCGGATCAGGCGATGCTGCTGGTGCTGCTGGTGCTGCTGGTGCTGCTGGTGCTGCTGGTGCTGCTGGTGCTGCTGGTGCTGCTGGTAGCGGTGGTGGTGGTAGGAGTGTGAGCGCACGGGACGATTCGGAGACACTCCACCCGTGCTGGGAGGAGTACATGCTGCAGCACAAGTGAGATCATTTGAATCACAGCAGGTCCCACCCACCCACGCGCATCATACATCCCACATGATGCGTCTCCCATCCTGCTTCCCACATTGTACATCCCCACAGTGTACCTCCCCACAGTGTACCTCCCCACATTGTGCCTCACCTGTCGCACGCCCCACCACACCAGATACCTTCCTGACGCGTTTTTCCGATGAGCTGTGTATAGTTTTTAAAGAACTCTCCTCTAGCGCCATGCGCTGGAGATGGTATGGTAGTGCCTCCAGGCGCATCATTCTGCATGGCTCCTTTTGAGGCGCCTAAAATATCGTATGGTAGTGCCGCCAGGCGCATCACTCTGCGTGGCTCTTCCTGTATCCACCCTGAACCATTGTTTTTTGAGGCGCCTAAAAAATCTTCCTGTATCCATCCATCCTGAACCATTCTTTCCGCTCTGTTGCTCCTGCCAAGTCACCCACCGCCATCCCCCGCAAGGTTTTGTTGCCCCCTTGATCCCTCAAACGCCAATTCACCACAACTCTCCCCGGCTTTCCCACCCCCTTTCCCTCTCCGCTGCCCTCTTCCCCCTCCCTCTGCATCCCAATTTTTACTGTTTTTACCCTCCCTCCAGTGGCGGCACTCCATTCTATCACAACGTTTTCTCAGGGGAAGTTACCCTGGAGTTTCCAAGTGCAATGGAAAGAAGCAGAGGAGGGGTGAGTAGGAAGAGATGGGGAGACTGGAAAGGTGGGGGATGGCGGAGGGGTATAGGTTGGGTTTTGGTGGGGGGGGGGAGGAGGGAAGGGATTGATGTTGCAGCCAGAACGTGCTGGTTGGTGTTTAACCCTCCTCCGCCCGTTCAACTTGGTTCTCATCTTTGACTTATTGCAGACACCATGGGTCAAGGCAGGACGGGCATGCCCATTGCACTCGTTCTTTTTCCCGTGCCCCCTCCCTTTGTACCTGACCCCCCCGCCCCTTCTACCTCGTTCTCCCCTCGGGATCCTAGCGGACGCCATGGGTCTAGGAAAGACGGTCGTGACCATTGCGCTGCTTCCGAGTCTTTCCCCCTGCCACCCTCCCCTCATACCCGCCCCTTCTACCTCTTTCTCCCCTCCAGATTCTACCGAAAGCCATGGGCCTGGGCAAGCCAGACATGCCGATCACACTGCCCCTTGCAGCCCTCTCAATGCCCCTCCCCCCCTTCCCCCGCCATTCTTCCATCTCGCTCTCCCCTGCAGATCCTAGCAGACGCCATGGGCCTGGGCAAGACCGTGATGACCATTGCCCTCATTGCTGCCAGCATGGCATGCAGGGAGGGGTCAAAGGAGCGGGGCAAGGACGGGGGCAGGGACAGGGGCAGGGAGGGGGGCAGGGTGGGAGAACAAGTGAGGGATGAGAAACAAGGCTGGGACGGAAATGGAGGCTGCATTGCCAACGGGGATGAGGATGTGAAGGAGGAAGAGAAAGGTGTGAAGCGGAAGAGTGGGGAGTGCAGTGCGGTGCTGGGAGCAGTGGAAGGGGGTCGAGTGGTTTCGAGGAGAAAGAAGCGAGTTAAGAGGGAGGCGGTGGAGGGGGGGATTGGGGAGGCGGGAGATGAAAGGGAGGTCGGTGAAGGAGAGGAGGATATAGTGGTGGTGGAAGATAGCGATGAGGAGTATTTACCTGAGGCGAAGGGTGGTGTGCATGGTGACAGTGACAATAGCGACGGCCAAGTGCTTCCACAGCGACGTTTACTTTATTGTGCCCCTGGTGATTGTGACAGTAGCGAGGGCAAGCAAGGGCGGGGAAGGGGGGGAGGTGGTCAGAAGAGGGGGGCGGAGGGGAGGGGGCGAGAGGGTGCGGAGCGGAGTGGGAGTGACAGTGGGAGTGGCGGTGGCAGGAAGCGGAGGGACAGGAGGGTGCGCGGCGGCACGCTGATAGTGTGCCCCATGACGCTGCTGAGCCAGTGGAAGGTGGGCCTCCACCTTGCCCCTCGCCTGTCCCTCCGCCTCCACTTTCCACTGTATGATATCGTGCACGCCCCTTGCCCCTTGCCCCTTGCCCCTTGCCCCTTGCCCCTTGCCCCTTGCCCCTTGCCCCTTGCCCCTTGCCCCTTGCCCCTTGCCCCTTGCGTCTCACACACTCTCTCACTGGTCCTCTGTCTTTCTCCCAGGCTGAGTGCGAGGCGCACACGGCGCCCGGGCTGCTGTCCGTGCTGCTGTACTATGGGTCGGGGCGGGACTCAGAGGCTCGCTTCCTGGCACAGCACGATGTGGTCATCACCACCTATGGCACGCTTCACGCCGAATTCAAGGTGAACCAAAAGAGACCTTTGACGCCCCCCTCTTCTCACCTCCTGCACGCCGCACACCTGCATTCTCCTCACACTCTCCTCCCCTGCATCTCCCTCCCCGCCGGCCCCTCTCCCCCCTGCCCCATCACTCTCCCACCCTACTCAGCGGTTCAACAGGAACGCAGCTGAGGAGAGCCTAGCAGCGCAGGAGGCCGCTCTGCCCAGCACCCTCCTCACCTCGTGCACGCCGCTCACCCGCTCCCAGCCATCCCCGCCCCTGTCACCCTCAACCTCACCAGTACCGTTGCCCCTCTTTTAACCCCCCCCCCCCTTCCCCCCCTCCCCCATCACACTCCCGCCTCAGCGGTTCAATCGGATTGTTGCAGAGAGCCTGGCAGCGCTGGAGGCCGCTCTTTCCAAGACTCTCCCCACCTCCTGCACGCTTCACGCCTGCTCTCCCTTCCATGCCCCCTTTCACCGCTGCCCTGCAACCCTCAGCGGTTCAACAGGAATGCCTCAGAAGAGAGCCTAGCAGCCCAGGAGGCTGCACTGCCCAACACCCTCCTCACCTCGTGCACGCCGCTCACCCGCTCCCAGCCATCCCCGTCCTCTGCATTGACCCAAGTACCAGCGCAGCCTCGCCCCTTCCTCGGCCCGCTGCACGGTGTGCAGTGGTGCAGAGTGGTGCTGGACGAAGCCCACTGCATCAAGAATCGCGGCTCCGGTGCTGCTGCTGCCACCTTTGCGCTCCAGGCGGATGCCCGATGGTGCCTCACTGGCACGCCCATCCAGGTACGGGAGAGGAGCGGGGGGGGGAGAGGGGGGAGAGAGGGGGGGGAGAGGGGGTGGGAACGGGTTTTGAGTATTATAAATCTTTTTTTCAACGGCTACCTGTGTGCTCCAGGCGGATGCCAGATGGTGCCTCACAGGCGCGCCCATCCAGGGTAGGGGGGGAAGAGGGGGTGTTGGGGGGGAACGGGTTTGAGTTTTAACCCTTTTTTTCAACGGCTACCTTTGCGCTCCAGGCGGATGCCAGATGGTGCCTCACAGGCTCACAGGCTCACAGTCTCTCACAGGCTCACAGTCCCTCACAGGCTCATCCAGGTAAGGGAGGGAGGGTGTGCAGCATTGTAGGAGGAGGTTCGAGTGTGAGAGGTTTTCAGCGTGTTAACTGGAAATCTACCCTGCTGCGCCTCTATTCCGTCTGATTCCGTGTATCATCCTCCCCTTATCATTACATCACATGCATAACCCCTACAGAACCAGCTGGAGGACGTGTACAGCCTCCTGCGCTTCCTGCGAGTGCAGCCGTGGGACAACTGGGGTGGTGGCAGCGGCAAGTCACCTTCTGCTTCTCCCATCCTTCCGCTCTGATTCATCCCCTACAGAATCAGCTGGAGGACGTGTACAGCCTCCTGCGCTTCCTACGAGTGCAACCGTGGGACAACTGGGGGTGGTGGCAGCGGCTGGTGCAGCAGCCGTACGAGCGAGGAGACATGCGCAGCATCCGCCTGCTGCAGGGGCTGCTCCGACCGCTCATGCTGCGCCGAACCAAGGACTCCAAAGACAGGTACGGGCCGAATCACGGGCTCCAGAGAGAAGTATGGCGGGAACCTTTGAGTCGACTCAAAAGACACGTATGGCTCAGTTAATCTTCATATGGCTGAGACAGAGACAGGCAGCCTGTCTTCCGCCTTTCCTCTTCCCTCTTCGCCATTCCATCCCCCTGAATCCACTCTCATTCTCCCTGTGTAATGAGTCGACTAAAAAATCGACTCATTACACACGGATTATTTTGAGTCGACTCAAAAATCTTCGCCATTCCATCCCCCTGAATCCACGCTCATTCTCCCATTTCTCACTCTCTTTCTCAGGCTAGGGCGGCCCATCCTTGTCCTGCCGCCCATATCTTGCCGCGTGATCTCGTGCGAATTCTCTGCGGAGGAAAGGGATTTCTACGACGCCCTGCACAATAAGTCCAAGGTATGTCGCCCTGCATAATAAGTCCAAGGTATGCCGCCCTGCATAATAAGTCCAAGGTATGCCTCCCTTTACAAGTCCAAGGTATGCTGCCTTTACAAGTCCAATGCAAAATAAGGGTAAATTCCTGGCAAGTGTCAGGCTCACTTGACACAAAGTGTTGACGGCTAAGATATGTGCGCATCACCACAGCTGCTGACGTGTGCTGATCCAGGCTGTCGAATCTATGACCCGAAGTGAGCTGACATGTGCCAATTTAACCCAAGTCCAAGATATGCCGCCCTCACCAAAAGGGCACCAATGCAAGCACTTTCCTTCCACCACCTACTCTTGTCTTATCGCCTGACGTGGCTCTCAAACTTTCCACCTTCTCTCTCCCACCTGCCACCAGTTCAACTTGGCGCAGGGCAGGGCACTGCAGACCCGTGGGTCCCTCCTTCCCTCCCTCCCCTGCCCCTTGTACTAACGCCCACTGTGCAGCCCCTCCCCTTCTCTCCTGTGCCCCACCCGCCTGGTCAAGTCCTACAGTTGTGGGCGCAGGGCCGAGTGCTGCAGAAGTACGCGTCCATCCTACCCCCCTTCCCCTGCCCCTTGTACCAACAACCACTGTGTCCCATCCCCTACCGCCCTGCCTCCCGCCCGCCAGGTCAAGTTCGACAGCTACGTGGCGCAGGGCAAGGTGCTGCAGAACTACGCGTCCATCCTCGAGATGCTGCTGCGCATGCGCCAGGTGGGTGGTGGTTGGTGGGCGGTGATGCGGCAGGTGGGTGGTCTGTGTTTCTGCTGACTCAACTCTCTCCCACACCCCCTGAGGTCTGTGACCACCCTTTCCCCCCCGGCATAAATCGCTCTCTCCCACACCCCCTCAGGTCTGCGACCACCCTTTCCTCGTTTTAAGCCGCTCCGACACAATGGACGACAACGACCTCAGCAAGCTGGGCCGCAAGTTCCTCGCAGCTTCCCCTCACGAACCGAAAGGAACGGCAGCCAATGCTACTGCTGACAATACCGCTGCTGCTTCTCCGGCCAGTGGTTGGGGGGATGCAGATAGCTCCCCCTGGGGTGAAGCAACCGGTGCTGGCAGCTGGGAGGGAGCCGAGGGCGGTCCGTCGCGTGAGTTTGTGCAATCCGTGCTGGCTCGACTGAAGCGGAGGAGGGAGGAGGAGAGGAGAGGAGGGGGGTCGCAGGGCGGGGAGGAGTGTCCGGTGTGTCTAGAGGCGGTGGAAGACGCGGTGTTGACGCCGTGTGCGCACATGGCGTGCCGCGAGTGTCTGCTCACCGCCTGGCGGCACTTGCCTAGTGGTGGCCCTTGCCCCGTGTGCCGGTACGTGCAATCGTACACATGTGCCAAGTCGCTGGGGGGGGGGGGGGGGGGGTGGGGTTTCATATTGCCAAGTCTTTGTATCAGCTGGTGAACACATCGCAGTGTGTCGCACTTTTCCAGCACCTCCTTGGGCAGTAACACACAGATAGGACAAAATGATGTCACCAACCAACCCCCCCCCCCCCCCCCCCCATCCTCCGTCCCCGCCTCCCCGACGCCTACCAGCCGGCCAGTGCAGCGCTGCCAGCTCATCACAGTGCCGCGCGCCAGCCGCTTCTCATTGGACGTGGAGGCCAGCTGGCAGGACTCGGTGAAGGTCCGGCAGCTGCTGCAGTGCCTGGGGGACATCCGGAGGGCGTCCACCTGGGGAGAAGGGGGAGAGGGGGGGCCGGGGAGAGGGGGAGGAGGGGGAGAGAAGAGTGTGGTGTTCAGCCAGTGGACGGCGTTCCTTGACCTGCTGGAGATCGCTTTCAAGAGGTGAGCAGAGAGAGAGATTAAGATTCAGTTCAGGCTTCAATCTGCTGTGATTGTTTTTAATCATATCACAGCATCCTTCGCTTGTTCACCGTTTCTCGCACCAATCATCGGCCATCCGCTCCGATTCCACTCCCCCCCGCCCCCCTCCCCACCCTTCCTCCCTCCCCACTATTTTACTTCCCGTGTACGTCTTTCTGTGTCACAGAGCCAAGGTATCGTACGTGCGGCTGGATGGTAGCATGGCGCAGCAGCAGCGGGAGAGGGCGATAGAGGCATTCAAAGCGAATCCCGAGGTGGAGGTGCTGATGATTTCGCTCAAGGCTGGAGGGGTGGGGCTCAACCTGACCGCTGCATCACACGCTTTCCTCATGGTATGTGGGAGGGTGTTGATGAGTTCACATCGAATCCCGAGGTTGAGGTGCTCGTGATATTTCCCAAGGCTGGGGGTGTGGGGCTCAACCTGACCGCTGCATCACACGCGTTCCTCATGGTATGTGGGAGGGTGTTGACGAGTTCACATCGAATCCCGAGGTTGAGGTGCTCGTGATATTTCCCAAGGCTGGGGGTGTGGGGCTCAACCTCACTGCTGCGTCACATGCTTTCCTCATGGTGTGTGAGAGAGCTGTCGAGAAGATCCAAGCCGACTCAGTATCCCGCCTTCTCTGAAACCACGTCTCCTGATACTCTTCATTCCTCCAGCCATATTCGGACTCCTGGCGTTATCAGTCTAGTTTTTATTCGACTAAAAAAAAGACTCATAACACACGGATAATATCCTTCATTCCTCGGGCCATCTCAGGACCTCCTGGTGTAACCCAGCAGTGGAAGAGCATGCAGGAGCCAATGACTCAGAATAAATCCTCCTCTATTCTCGCATTTGCTTCCCCCGACCTTATCAGGACCCCTCGTGGAACCCGGCAGTGGAGGAGCAAGTAGTGATGCCGGTGTGCTGCATAGGGCAGACGTCTTCTCTTGCCCGTCTTTCCCATCGTGCTCTTCTTTTCTTCCCCCAACCTTATCAGGACCCCTGGTGGAACCCGCCAGTGGAGGAGCAGGCAGTGCTGCGCGTGCAGCACAGGCAGTCTTCGTCCCTTGCACTTCCTTCCCCTTTTTTCTGTTCTTGCCCTTAAAGCCCAGCCCAGGTCCCTGTTCTTAACCCCCACAGAACTCTCTTTTCTTTTTTCTTGCCCCTAACCCCCACAGGACCCCTGGTGGAACCCAGCAGTGGAGGAACAAGCAGTGCTGTGCGTGCATCGCATAGGGCAGACTTCCTCCCTTACCCTTCTTGCTCTTCTTTCTTCCCCGAACCTTATCAGGACCCTTGGTGGAACCCAGCAGTGGAGGAGCAGGCAGTGATGCGCGTGCACCGCATAGGGCAGACTTCCTCCCTTACCCTTCGTGCTCTTCTTTCTTCCCCGAACCTTATCAGGACCCTTGGTGGAACCCAGCAGTGGAGGAGCAGGCAGTGATGCGCGTGCACCGCATAGGGCAGACTCGCCCGGTGACAGTCACGCGCTTTATAGTGAGGGACTCAGTAGAGGAGCGTATGCAGAAGGTGCAGCAGCGCAAGCAGCAGATGGTGAACGGGGCGCTCACGGACGATGGGGCGCGCACGGCACGGATTCAGGAGCTCAAGATGCTCTTCAGGTAGTGCCATGGCAGGTCAGGGGAGCACAAGCAAGCGGAAGGGGCATTCCACGGACAATGGCCATGACAAAAGCAATAGCACAAGTTAGGATGCAAGAGCTCAAAATGCTCTTTAGGTAGTGCCATGGTGCGCTAGGGGAGCACAAGCACGCAGAAGGTGCAGCAGCGCAAGCAGCAGCTGGTGAACAGGCCGCTGGCGGTCGATGGCATGCGCGCCGCTACAACTCGAGCTCAAGATGCTCTTGAGGTAGTTTTTTTTTGCTGTTGTGGCAGTGCAGATGGTGGGGGGGATCAATAAGGCAGCAGCGCAAGCAGCAGCTGGTGAAAGCGCCCACAGACGATGGCATGCGCACAGACGATGGCATGCGCACAGACGATGGCATGCGCACAGACGATGGCATGCGCACAGACGATGGCATGCGCACAGACGATGGCATGCGCACAGACGATGGCATGCGCACAGACGATGGCATGCGCACAGACGATGGCATGCGCACAGCATGGATTCAAGAGGTCAAGTCAAGATGCTCGTTAGGTAGCGCGGTGGCACTCCAGGGGAGCACAAGCATGCTGAAGGTGCAGCAGCGCAAGCAGCAGCAGCTGGTACTCTTAAAGCAGAGGGGTGGCACTCCAGATGGTGGGGGAGTCAGCAGGGCATCTCCAGAGGGAGCAAAGCTCTCCATGGAGTCTGGTGCGGTTGGGTTGGGAGCATCAGCAGAAAATCATGAGGGGTGCATGTGGTGTGTGAGGCTTGGGTGCAAACATGTATGGGATGAGGTGTATGTACGGCATACACTGCAGATTGTAGGCTCCAGCGATTTGAGAGTTTGTACGGTACTCATGTTTTGAAGAGTGAGTGTCTGGTAGCATATTCCATCTGATGGCATGAGAGAAATCAAGTGCTGCTGTTGACATGTGGTGGAGCCGGTCCTTCTCCTGCATGCAGCATAGCACTACATCACATCACATCGCATCACGCACTAGGAATACTGATAGACAGAAAACCGACAGCTAGGTAGTTCAGAGGACAGCCACACAGCTCGTGATCAGTCTCAGGATTGCTTCTTACTGCTTGCGGCATGACTGTCAAGCCAGGTTGAATATTGCCGATCTGCTGAGTGAGTGAATGCATATGCAGCCGCTTCCTGTGACGTGAGCAGTTCCGGACGGGATGTACACTAAATGGGAACAGGGTTACGGTATTAGGATCACATTTCCATGCAATCATCATCGCCGCCTGACTCAAATGAGGTGGTAGTCCTTGCTGCCTCCGGTGACCATCTATTCTGCGAAGGTTGTTGTAACCCGCTCTGCAACTGATAAAATTCGCCTGTGCCCCTGCCTTCCCCCGCACCTCCCCACATTCCCCTTCCGCCTGTTTCCCCAGACGCGGATTCAGAAGACCCCGCTCCCCCTGCGCCCATCCATCCTTCCGCAGCTCCCCATGTTCCCCTTCCGCCGGATTCCCCTGACGAGGACGCGGAAGAACAAGCTCCGCCGCATGCCGTGCTGGGCTGAGGCGGAGAAAAAATCCTGCCCGCTACACACGGCAACGCGCTTCCGCCTGTTACGGACGACCCTGCAGTTCCTGACACCGACCCTTGGGAGCCGTACGAACCCGTTCCGCCACAGCTGCTGATGCTACAGCTACAGTCCCTGCCAAAACGGCCCGCGAACAACGCCGCATTGTCCGCCGCATCCAACGCCTGATGCTGCGGCGGCGTCGACGCGATCTGCATGCTCCAGGCGCCCCAGCGGATGTGCGGCACGCGCAGCCACGGGCTCGACCAGGACAGCCTCGGGACCGTTACCGTCAGCGAGCCGACGGAGTGGGCCGCCGTCGCGCGCTCCGGACTCGCGTCAAAAGGTAACTTGAACCGGCACCCGAACCTCCACGGATTAGATATCGACGAATGGATGCTGCTGCAGCTGCTACCGCCACTACCGCAGAAGGAGTCTGCGCCTCGCGGTGCAGGCAGCAGCGAGCGCTCGCAGTGCCGAGAGCAGAAAATGGTCAAAAGTGCACGTTCGAGGCACAGCTTCCCGTCTATGTCGGCGGAAGGTATCTCTCCCCCAGCTCCGCAGGCTCCCCGTGCGCCGTTTTGCTCTGCATGCTGCACAGGAAAACCCCCATTTGCGCAGGCTTTCGCGCAAGACGAGGCCGAACGTCCAGGTGCACTGGACTCAACGCGTTCGAATACCACCTCCACCTCCTCGTGCCGCAATCCGTCCCTCTGGACTTCAAACGAGTACGTCTCTCCTGTCTCCGATATAAGCCACTTGGGCTTCCGGATGTCACCCTGGTACTCCTTTACAACTTCAAACTCGATATTGGTGAAGGAGGGAGCAAACTGGGCGCTGGGACGAAATGGCTTTCCTCTAGACGAGTACGTGTCATACGGCTGCGATGCTGTCGGTCTGGAGAGTCCCCGTGACCTGCGGGACGCCATATACCAAGTACTAAAGCAGGCAAGCTCGCTCCGTTTCAGCAAAGACTGTCTGGTCTGTAGTCCTCGGCGAAGGACCGTCTGCCGCTATCTGGCAGTGGAGGGGAAGTCCAAGTCATTTCGGTGTACGTCACCCGGACGAGACTAACTTCCTAATGCAGGACATGGCCTGTGCGGCCTACTGACGATAAAGACGAGCTTGTCGAAAGAATTCCATTGTAGCTAACAACGTCATGCAGCGCAGCGCTACCTGCCTGGACTGCTGCTATCATCAAGGAGAGAGCGAGACGAGACGAGAGTGGCGTCTGTGAGGCGAGACTATCGTTGTACCGCCATGGATGGATCATTCTTCCCAAAGCTCTCGCTCTTCCAGCACAGCGTCCCCAAGCCAAAAAGTTCCAGTTCCTTCCAAGCTCTCCCATTCGCTGCGAAGGCCACAAAACTCGCAAACTTTGTGACCTGCCTTGTGGATATTTCGTGATGAGCCAGGAGGACCGTTTTCGCCAGATTCGCGGATCCAGTGACGAACAACCACCACCCTTCAAATCCAAGTGACTGGTGCATCAGCAGCAGCTTCGTGCCTCGCGTCGCACATAGCATCCTTCCTTGGCTGACGATCTCGACTCGACCTCCGCTTATGTGATTGGACGTTCCGTTCGTACCGGTGGGGTTGGTGGAATCCCATCCACTTGATTCTGCTTCTAGGAGCTTCCACTATCCACTCTCGTTGTCGTACTCGCAAACACCAGTTCCACCTTATCATACTCGCTACAAGCGGAGCCACCACAAGCGACCCTATTCATCTACCTGTGTAATGTACGCTACTCAATTGGTGTTACAAAATATACCCGCAGTTTCGGCTTTCGTTCGGGCACGTCATTGCACCTGACGTGGCAATGCTGGAGACTCCGTGCTTGGGCGTGGCGTGCCCTCATCATCAATCCACCCAAGCCCAATGACCCTCCCATATCTCACCTCACCTCAGTAAAACGAGAGAACCACGGGATATCGCACTGAAACGCGTTGAAAGCAACTGTACCATTTTATATTTTCAATTTCTAATATCAAGCTAGTTGTCCCTCCTCTCCTCACCGGACTCAACTCAGCCTGCCTTCCCATCCCAACACTCCTCTCTTCTTCTCCCCAGGTGCCTAATTAGGGTTTTCGCATTGTCGACATGGCGTTGGCCTGTCCGTCCTCCGTGTCCTTCAAGTCCTTCCAAGGGCTCAAGGCCAGTCCCGCCGTATCTTCCCAAGCCCGCATTAGCCGCTCCAATGTAGCTTTCCCAGCCGCCGCCTCCAAGCGGCTGGTCGCCGTCACGGCCGTCGCAGAGGCACCAGCAGCTGCCGGCCCGGCAGTTCTGCCGGTCCTGACGATCGACGGCGCGAACTCCGGCAAGACGGCGGAGCTGAACCTGCGGACGGCGCGTCCGGAGACGGCGAAAGCAGTGGTTCACCGCGCCGTGGTGACCTACATGCAAAACAAGCGCGCCGGTACCGCGAGCACGAAGACCCGCGCGGAGGTGCGTGGAGGCGGGAGGAAGCCGATGAAGCAGAAGGGTACCGGCAGCGCTCGCCGGGGGTCGCAGCGGACGCCGCTGCGTCCTGGCGGTGGTGTGGTGTTCGGGCCTAAACCCAAGGACTGGACGATCAAGATCAACAGGAAGGAGCGGCTGCTCGCCGTGGGAACCGCGCTGCAGAACGCGGCGACCGCGAATGACGGCGCGAGCTTCATCGTGATCGAGGACGTGCACGACAAGGTCGCGGCGCCTAAGACTAAGGACTTCGTGGCCGCGCTTCGGCGGTGGGGCGTGGATTACAAGAACGATCACGCGCTGCTGCTGACGGGCGAGGCGTCGGAGAATCTGATCCTGTCGACGCGGAACATCGAGAATCTGAAGGTGGTGACGCCGAACGCGCTGAACATCTACGACGTGCTGCGCGCCGATAAGCTGCTGGTGACGGAGTCCGGGCTGGAGTACCTGAACCAACGGTTCGGCGATGACGTGCTGATCTTTGAAGATGGGGAGGAGGAGGAAGAGGAGGAGGCTTCAGATGCTTGAATGCAGGGAGGTGCTCGAGGGACGGATGACGAGATTTGTGGTTAGTATGGCTAGAAAGTGGAGCCGATAGGTCGACCTGGTCAGGGGGAGGGGGGGTGGCAGGGGTGTTGCAATGGCAGGGGAAACATTCACTGACCATGTGTGTGTGGTTCCTAGCCTACGGTAAGCTTCTGTTGCTTCTGCTGCATTCTACCTTTCGCCTCATGTGTAGCCATACCAGCATACCAGCAATTCTACAGTACCATATTGAAAAGCAACCCGTGAATAAATCCTACACGAGCGCGCTGTCTGAATGCTGCCGGTTTGGCGAGCTTTCTGTTCTACCTGTGGGGCCAAGGATAGCCAGGCGAAAGGTCTCCTGCACTCTTTCCCGTTCACCTCTTACAAGCCCTCCACTTTCTCCTTACCTTCTTTTCGCATCCCCACTCCCCCCCCCACCCTCCTTGCCCTTCTCCCCCCCCTTCCCTCCCCCCCCCCCCCTCCTCTCCTTTCCCTCGCTCTTCCTCACTCCTCCCCACCCCCTCTCCGTCCCCCTTCCCCCCCTCGTATTCCCCCCTCCCCCATCATTCCCCCCTCCTACCTCCTCTCGATCACTCCTCCCACTATTTTGCCCTCATGCCTCGCAAGTTTCAATTTCCCCATTTCTGACTCTCCTCGCGCTTCCCTTGCATTTTCTACTTTGGCTCCCTTCAGCTTACATTCCCTCCCCCTCTGTGCCATGCCTTGGCACTTCATTTACGGTACTTCCAACAATCACATATGGCAATGAGTCCCTCACAAGTAGCCCACAGTAGCTGGTTGTTCCTGTCCATTTCCTAAATTCCGAAACTTCAGACAATCATAGCATTTCGGGAGGTTCTAGGAGCCAGCAGCAATCCTGGTTTCTTAGAGACAACTGCACTTCACCCCACACAAACAAGCAGTAATTTTGCCTGTATTGCACCCTACTAAAGCGGTTGCCTGCTGGGTGCTAAGGCAGAAGGACCTTGGCATGACCGCGGATTCAGAACCATCCATACCGCGGCCGGCTACGATCACCACCATCCATACCGCGGTCAGGGATGATCGCCACCATCCATACTTGCCAGGCTCGTCACCGGGTTCACCATGCTTCTTCGACTTCGCCCCTCGAGCTCAGCGATCATTATCTCTTTACACCTCCGAGCCGTAATTCGTTAGCGAAGTTCCGGCATGCCCTTTTCCCACCGCTTCCACACCCAAGCGCCTCGCAGCATGCACGGGTTGCGGCGCCGTGAGGACAGCTGGGGTGCAGCTCTGGTATGCAGTGAAGAGGGCTATGGGCAGATCCGTCGCTGAACCATTTCGCGGTAGATTCTGGGCCAAGGGGAATCCAACATGATCATCCACGGTGGCGTTCCGTTCTTGGGAGCATCCCGAAGGTTCCCTGAGGCTCCGTTCCAAGGCTCCACTCTAAAGGCTCCTTACCGAGGCTCCGTTCCAAGAGGCTCCTCACCGAAGCTCCGTCCCAAGGCTTCATCCCGAGGCTCCACCCCACGCCCATACCACGCCCTCGAACACGTTTGCTCGCGTTGCGAATTGCCATGGGTTCGTGCGCGGCGTTTCTGCGCGGCCGTCGACTCCCTCCCGTATGGGCTGTGGCGCAAGTTGAGGCGCCGTGCGGAGCTCTGGCGCAAGTTGAGCCGAGAATCCAGGCGATGCCGCGGATATGGGTGCGAGATCTCACTCGCTTTGGTCTTTGGAGCTGCTCACTGGCGCAGCATTGCGCAGGGGACCTTGAAGAATCTTGAATCTCGAATCTTGAAATCTTGAAGCGTGGTTCTAGAGGCTTCTGTGAGTTCCCCTCGTGGGAGCAGTACTCGCAGTCGCGCGCAGGGGAGAGTGCTGTGAAGGACAGTCTTTAGCAGCGAAGGAGGCAGGGGGGATCCAGCAGCGGAAATTCGGCATCGGGAGATCCGTCAGCGGGGAGTTCGTTATGGCCTCTCCTCCTTCCGCCAGCGCCACTGTGGCCCTTCGCACCAAGGGCAACGCCTTCTATGCGAGCGCTTTCACCGAGGGGATCGACCCCCTTTTGAAGCGCAGCCGCCTGAATGTGGCTCTATCGAAGTACAGGGAGGCCCTGCGCCGCCACGTGGCGGAATCTCAGCCGTCCGCGGATGAGCTTTCCTCGTTATGGAAGAACATCGCCTTGGCCTCATCCACGCTTGCTGCCAGCCACACAGAGGCTTATAAAGCGTACAAACCTCCTGTGATAGACGCTGCTGCGTCTGAACGCGTCATGGTACGAACCCTGCGCCGTGCTGTGGAGGAAAAGGAGTGGGACTATAAGGAAATCGAGGAGCGCTATAAGGAGGCTGTCAAGGCGTTCTGCCTCGCTCTGCTCTTTGGCAGTTGTGAGATGCGGAATAGCAATACCCGATCCCGACAAGGCGCCACTGCTGGCAATAACAGGTCAGCAAAAGGCGGCGTTCAGGGATCCTTTAGGGGCGGCGGCGGCCGTCCGGCACGCAGCGCTCCAGCCAAGCCCGAGGAGTGGCAGCAGAAGGTTCTGCAAAGCTTCAACAATATGATATCCGAAATCGCGAGTTTCGCGGCGTTTGCCCGCGCTAGCAGCAGCGGCAGTGGCAGCGGTGGTGGTGGGGAGTGGCAGTGGCGGCGGGATAATGTGCGTGACAGCGGGGAGCGGCTGCTGTGGGCGGTGATGGGTGAGTTCAGTGACATGCGCGCACGGGACAGCTGGAAGAAGCATCTCGGAGTCAAGGACCCCGACCGAGGTGCGAGGGAGTATTTTGTCACAGGGGTCTGCGTCGTTCTGCTCTAAGGTTTTCGTGGCTTTGTTTGTCTTTCCGGGTTGGTTTTTGTTGAACTTCTGTCAGCCTTGGTTTGGAAGCTGTTGGAATTTGAAAAAGTCCTCTGATCTGCTTTCCTCACAACGCTTTTATCTCCTCCCCACCTCTTCCCCCCCAACCCTCCCACCCCCCCCCCCCCTTTGCCCGCGCTGCCAGTTGATTGGATAGCAACCTCCACGCGCCACGTGGAGGCCTTTGCAGCCTTCCACGTGGCATTCTCTGAGTTCCTCCTGGACAAGGGCACATCCCTCCTCACCATGAACCTCGCCCGCTGCTCGCACTCCCCCCAGCGCACCCCCGGGACAACGATCAACGCCAGCAGTGGGGGGGCAGAGAAGAGGGCAGCGCCAGGGCTGGTGGCCCAGAGGGAGAGCGCCCGGTGCTTTGCTGAGTGCGAGCGCCCGCTGCGGCTGCTGGCAGATGCCCTGGAGACACTTGCGAGGAATGTGGAGGGTGAGTGGAGTGTGATTAGAGGGTGAGTGGAGGTTGAGAGGAGGGTGAGTGGAGGGTGAGTGGAGTGTTAGTAGAGGGTGAGTGGAGGGTGGTGGTTGAAGGTTGAGTCATGTGATCGGATCTGTATCCCTTGGCCCTTCACCATTGCTTGTCGGCTGTCTTGTGTCTGCAGGCAATTCATGTGGTAACCAGTCGGTTACTAAACCCGCCCTCAAGGCCCTGCAAAAGCAAGCCAAGGAGCTTCATCGCGCCCGCTTCGCCTGCAGTTGTCTGTGCGAGTCAGTTGAAACCCTCGTCCGCGCGACAGCACTCTATGCACGAGCAGGAGCGGGGTCAGGGGGCGGCACAAACAACAACACGGGCGGCACGAACAAGAACACGGGTGGCGGTGTGGCCGGCGGTGCTGACGTGGCGCTGCTGTGGGCGGCAGTGGATGGGTTCAAGGAGGCGGTGGTGCTGACGAAGGAGCGCCACATGGACATGGAGGCGTACGCGCTTAGCTGGCTGGGGCATGTGTATGACGTGGCGCTGCAAATGGACGGCATTGGCCATCGCTACCACCAGCGCGCCGTGCAGGTGGGTGGGGTGAACAGTGAAGTGCGAACCTTACAGCGTTTCACAGTGCTAACACGATCAGCTCAAAAAGTTCAAGTCGGTGCATATTACAGGCCGCCACTCATTCCCTCATCGTGAGTACCTTATTGTCCGTCAGCAGGCTTGTCTCTTTCCCGTACCCTCTCGTGTGCATGCCCCCATGCCAGCTTGTGCAGTCAGCAGTCAAGACCCACCCCAGCCTGGCGCGCTCCCCCTGGTACTCGGCGTCTGAATGCGTTATCGGCCAACACCAAGGTCGTGTCTTTCACATGCCCTCCCTCCCCCCACCCCGCCTTCCCTCCCTCCTGTGCAGCTCGTGCTGTCTGCAGTCAAGACCCACCCCAGCCTGGCGCGCTCCCCCTGGTACTCGGCGTCTGAATGCGTTATCGGCCAACACCAAGGTCGTGTCTTTCACATGCCCTCCCCCCCTCCTGTGCAGCTCGTGCTGTCTGCAGTCAAGACCCACCCCAGCCTGGCGCGCTCCCCCTGGTACTCGGCGTCAGTGCGCGCCATAGACCGTCACCAAGCCAAGATTGTAAGGCAAGAGGAGCAGCGGCGGGAGGAGGAGCGAGAACCGCTGCTCGTTAAAATGAAAGGGGAGCTCGAGACACTCTCCAAGACTGCTGATACCGGGTGGAAGGCGCTTCTCACGCACATTTACGGCAAGTACCCGCCCAAGAGTGGGGACCACAAGTGCCCGTCGTTGAATGTGGACGATGCCAAGGTGTCGCTGCGCACGGCCATTCTGCACTACCACCCAGACAAGAACAGTGCGCACGGCAGCAGGTGGAAGATCCTGTGTGAGGAAGTCACCAAGTACCTGAATGACAAGTATGCCGTCTTCACCTGCGCTTGACCCTGATCTGTCTCAGATTGACTTGGTTTAGCTTGTCTGGAACATGCGTGGGAAGTACTCTGGTCTGATTTGGTGCAGAGAGGGGCTTGTGACTTAGTGAGGTAGTGCTCCCTGCTCGTGACCCATCATGCTTTGACCAAATCCTAGTATCCCTTGGGCATTACTTTCCCCTGTGGGCCGTGGGCATTGAAGCCCAAGACCTATGAAAGTATGTGGGTACCTTGTTCCAGATATGACACAAGAACACTGGAAGTACTGTGATATTCCAACTGTTAGAAGCAACCCAATACAACCAAACAGTAGTAACATGTTGTGCAGCACACACTCAGCGTCTTACGAAGCAACAAGCACAGCTCAGACAGAGGCAACACGGACCGAGTCATGCAAACATAGGCGGGATACAAGCCTTCAATTGGAGGAGAGCGCGTCGAGGTACTGTGCCCATTATCCATCCATCCTGTTCCCCCTGCCCTGCTTTCTCCGCCACCACGCCCTAGGCAGCAAGGAGCACCTGGTGTCAAGTCATGTGACCTGTCTAGCTATACCTTGTGTCAGGAGAGCACGTTGACAGGCCGAGCTTTGTGTCAGGACTAGCTAGCTACACACAGATCCAGCTTTCAATCGGAGGAGAGCACGTTGAGGTACTGCGCCCACCCGTCCTGCTCCAGCTGCTCTGCCTTCTCCAGCACCATGCCCTCCAGGTCCTTCTGGTACGCCACCATGCTGGCAGGGGGGGCGGGCCGGGGGGGAGGGAAATGAGAGATGTGAGGGGGGGAGAAGGACAGCACACGGGGGTGCATACTGACGACCCCAGCACCACACCCTCCAGGTCCTTCTGGTACGCCACCATGCTGGCAGGGGGGGCGGGCCGGGGGGGAGGGAAATGAGAGAGATGTGAGGGGGGGAGAAGGACAGCACACGGGGGTGCGTACTGACGACCCCAGCACCACACCCTCCAGGTCCTTCTGGTACGCCACCATGCTGGCAGGGGGGGCGGGCCGGGGGGGAGGGAAATGAGAGAGATGTGAGGGGGGAAGAAGGACAGCACACGGGGGTGCGTACTGACGACCCCAGCACCACACCCTCCAGGTCCTTCTGGTACGCCACCATGCTGGCAGGGGGGGCGGGCCGGGGGGGAGGGAAATGAGAGAGATGTGAGGGGGGGAGAAGGACAGCACACGGGGGTGCGTACTGACGACCCCAGCACCACACCCTCCCGGTCCTTCTGGTACGCCACCATGCTGGCAGGGGGGGCGGGCGGAGAGGTGGGGTGGGGTGGAGTGGGGGGCTTTGGAATGGGTACATGAGCGAGTGTGCCGCCGTCTCCAGCACCATGCCCTCCAGGTCCTTCTGGTACGCCACCATGCTGGCAGGGGGAGAAGGACCAGAAGGACCCGGAGGGCATGGTGCAGGAGAAGGCAGGTGAACTCCTCATGGTGAGGGGGACAGGAAAGGGAGAGACAAGGGGAGGAGATGGTGAAGAGAGGGCGGAGATGTGGGGAGGGAAAAGGGAAGGAAAGCACATAAGGCGCAGGTGATTTATGAGAATACAACCGTCTACTTCCAAAAAAAATCACTGACGAGATGAAGCACATCTTCTTATCTACCGTATTTTGAGTTGACTCGAAATACACCCGAGCTGTGTTGCCCGAGCCGGTGTTGTGCGTGCGCTCGGGTTGTGTGCTCAAGCACACACCTGTGCTTGTCGACCTTCAGGGTTCAACGCTTACCGGTCCAGCAGGGAGGGATCGGAGGCTCCCAGCATGCGCACGGCCAGCAGAGCAGCGTTGACTGAGTTGTTGATCGCCACTGTTGCCACTGGAATGCCACGTGGCATCTGGTGATTGGACAGGAGAGACAGGCAAGGAAGGGGGGAAGGGGAGATGGGGGTGGTGCGGTAAGCAGAAGATGGGCTGATTAAACACATAGAGTCATTGCAGTACGATCAGCCGAAGGGTCATTTGAAGACAAAAATGATTGAGTCGACACAATGAGCAGTGATATGCAGAAGAGACAGGGGAGAAGAAATAACATGCCAAGCGATTTCCCTCAGGGCTTACCTGCACAACGGATAGAAGGGAATCCATGCCCCCCCCATATGATTTTTGAGTCGACTCAAAACCGCGTGTAATGAGTCTGCTTTTGAGTCAAGTCAAAAGCTCCCTCAGGACTTACCTGCACAATGGAGAGGAGGGAGTCCATGCCCCCCAGAGCCGAGCCCTTCACCGGCACGCCAATCACCGGCAGTGGCGACATGGACGCCACCATGCCTGTTGATGAGCGGGGGAAGGGGGGAGGCAAAGAGGGGGGAAGGGAAAGAGGCGGGAAGGGAAAGAAGGGAGAAGGGAAAGAGGGGGGAAGGGAAAGAAGGGGGAAGGGAAAGAGGGGGGAAGGGAAAGAAGGGGGAAGGGAAAGTGGGGGGAAGGGAAAGAGAGGGGAAGGGAAAGAGGGGGGAAGGGAAAGGGGGGGGAAGGGAAAGAGGGGGGAAGGGAAAGAAGGGGGAAGGGAAAGAGGGGGGAAGGGAAAGTGGGGGGAAGGGAAAGAGGGGGGAAGGGAAAGAGGGGGGAAGGGAAAGTGGGGGGAAGAGAAAGAGGGGGGTTCGGGTTCTGATTAAACTCGAGGGCAGGCTGCAGAGCCCTTCACAGGCAGGGGCGACATGGATGCAACCACGCCTGTTGATGAGAGGGGGAAGGGGGGAGGAGGAAGGGGTGGGGAGGAAGAGGGAGAGAGGGGGGGGAAGGGAGGGGAGGGGGTTTAACTCGAGAACAAACTGCCGAGCCTTTCTCATGCACGCAAATCACAGGCAGGGGCGCTACTATCCCTAAAGGTCGAAGGGGGGAAGAAGGGGGAACGGAAATGGGCAAAGACTGGGAAGAAGAAATTGAGAAGCGAGTAACAGGGGTTCAGACAAGCTTGCAAGCATGCCTGCCATCGTTCTGTTGTTTTTACCTGGCAGGTGGGCAGCGCCGCCAGCGCCAGCGATGATGACTTTGACGCCCCTTGCGTGCGCCGACTGTGCGAAAGAGAACATGCGGTCGGGCGTGCGGTGGGCCGACACTATCGTGAGCTGGTGCGGAATCAGTCGGGTGGGGCCCGGGGAGGGGAGGTGGGTGTGGAGAGGGGGGGGGGGAGGGGGAGAGAAAGGAGGGCAAGAGGGGGAAGCCGAATTGTGCGAATGAGAACATGCGGTCTGGCATGCGATGGGCCGAAACTATGGTCAGCTGGAGGGAGTAAGTGGGGGTTTCGGGGGAAGCGGGAGTTGTTGGGAGTAAGTGGGGGGCCAAGGTGGGGAAGCAAGAGGAGCGAATGAGAACATGTTGTTGGGCGAGAGGGCGAGAGGGCGAGAGAGCGAGACAATGGTCAGCTGGGGGGGATACGTCAGGGAGATGAGAGGGGAACATTGTACGCAAGAGTGGGATGGCAATGAGGCGAGAATGCAATCATGCGGAAAGGCGGACACAATGGTCAGCTAGTGGGGTTTAGTAAGTGCGTTGGAGGTGGGGGAAAGTAACTCACCTCACCCTACCCACCTCACTCACTCCTCTGCCCTTTTACAGCTCACCTGCCACCTCTCATCACACTACCCACCTCATACGGCACTTGGAAAAAGTCGAGGATCTGAGCCGCCCCCTTCATAACCGGTAGGTCCGAGTCACTGCCCATTATGATCGCCACCTGCACGGCTGGTCACAGGTGCGATGAGGGGAGAGAAGGCAGGGGGGGGGTAATTTGAAGGCACTTAAAAGAAGGGGAGGCAGGCGATAGATCCGAGCTGCCCTGTTTGTGAGCAGTAGGCCGGAGTAACTACCCAAATCGCACCTCCCAAGCTCACGCTACCTCTTCCACCCCCTCTTAACCATCGCCAATAGCTGGCAGCACGATGCCAGAGAGTCGGCTGACTGCATGCATCTGGCCAATGCAATTGCCAATGCCAATGCCAATGCCATTGCCATTCCTATCCCGTTTCCCTCCCCCCCCCCCCCTCCCCTCCTCCCTCCACACACTAAACAGATACAATGTTCCTCACCTCGTCCACCCCCCTCCTGGCCGTCTCCCATGGCTTGGGGCAAAATCGCATTGATTCGCCTCACCGCCTCCTGCGCTGTCGGTGCCACCACCGTCACATGCCCCATCTTGCGCTTCGCACGCATGTCTGGGTGCGTGGGGGGGGGAGAAGGGGGGGACTTCGGTGGGTGTTAGGGGAGGATGGTCAAAGGGTGAGGCGCCACCACCGTCACATCCCCCATCTTGCGCTTCGCACGCATGTCTGGCAGAAGAGGGGGGGGGGGAGAGGGGTAGAGGTTAGAGGGGAAAGAGGGGAAAGGAGTAGAAAGGAGTAGAAAGGAGGGGAAAGGAGATTAGAGGAAGACGGGAAAGGAGTAGAGGAGTAGAGGGGAAGCGCAAGATGGGGGAGCAGACGGTAGAGGGGAAGGAGCAGCAGTGAGAGAGCATGAGGCGCCACCACCGTCACATGCCCCATCTTGCGCTTCGCACGCATGCCTTGGGGTGGGGGTGGGGGGAGAGGCGTGTTGGGGTGGAAAGAAAGAGGTGCGGAATAACGAGTGTTGGGAGAGAGGGGGGAGTGCAATGCAATGGGAGAGTTTTCTGGGGGAGGGTGGTGGGAGAGAGGGGGGTGGGCCGTGTGGGGGGGGGGGGGGGGGGAAGGGGGGGGAGGGAGTGGGGTCAGTGGGGATATGCAAGCACTACTGGATATAGTTACTGACCTGACTTGTCGTACCAGTGGATGGATGCCCCGGGCACCACCAGCGCCTGTTTCAGAACGGACTGGGAAATCTCAAAGCCCTCGTCGCCCTGGGGATATGAACAGCGGAGGAAGAGAGAGACGAGAGAGGCAAGAGAGAGTGAGAGGGCGAAAGAAACAGGATCAACCTGCGGCTGGCCAGCAAGTTCTTTTAGAAATGGAGGAAGGAATCCGCCTCACATCACAGCACATCACATCATATCAAGCTGCCTCACGTCAGCCTCCCCCAGGATTTCCACCATATGGCAGCAGCACCGACTTTATTTTCAAGTGCCCCCGTTCCATTCCCCTTAGACCAATCCATCCCTCCTTCCTCCTTCCGTCCCCCATCCCAAGGGCATATGCACTCACATCAGCCTCCCATGGATGTTGACCACGGCAGCAGCCCCAATCTTGTTGGCAGGTGGCACGCCTCAGTGCTGTAGTGAGCCCGCTACATCCCTCTAGTCCCCTCATCCCCAGACCCACTCACATCAGCCTACCCAACCTTGAGCGGCGGTCAAGAACCCCCACTCCATTTCCTTCAGACCATCTAATCCCCAACCATCTCCCATCCCAAGAGCGTATGTACACCACTCACATCACATCAGCCTCCCCCAGGATGTTGACCATGGCAGCCGCGCTTACCTTCAGCGACGGATCACCCAGAGGTAGCCCCAGCACGGCCAGCAGGTGCTGCTCGTACTGTGACACGTGGCACGCCTCGATGGTGTAGTGCGCCCCTACTGCCTGTCCCACTCCCTGATCGTTCCCCCTCCCCCCATCCCAAGGGTGTGTGCACTCACATCAGCCTCCCCCAGGATGTTGACCATGGCAGCTGCCCCGACTTTGAGAGACGGGTCACCCAGCGGCAGCCCCAGAACCGCCCGCAGGTGCTGCTCGTACTGCGACACGTGGCACGCCTCGATGGTGTAGTGCCCGCTGTTGTGCGGCCGCGGCGCCACCTCGTTGAGCAGCACGGTGCTGTCCTCCAGGAGGAACAGCTCGACTCCGAAGACTCCGGCTCCCGCCAGCGAGCCGATCGCCAGCTCCGCCACACGCAGCGCCTGCTGCTGCACCGCGGGGTGGACACTGGCGGGGACTAGAACTGTGTTGCAGATGTTGTCCCTGATCAACACGAAACGCAGATCGAGCACAGAGGGGGGGGGGCACAGAGGGGGGCGAGGGAGAACGAGGGGATTGATCAACAGACACCATTTCGCGGCGCCACCTCGTTCAGCAGCACAGAGTTGTTGTCCAGGAGGAACAGCTCCACACCAAACACGCCTGCGCCGGCCAGCGGCCCGATCGCGAGCTCCGCCACACGCAGCGCTTGCTGCTGCACTGCGGGAGGCACACTCGCCGGCACCAGCACCGTGTTGCAATGTTGTCTCTGGTCAAGTCAAGGGAGAAACGGAGGGAGATGCAAAATACTTGTCTCAAACTGGTGGTGCGGCCGTGTGTGCTGTGGGCGTTTCAATCAATCCCTGGCTGGTGGGCACCAGCACCGTGTGGCAGATGTTGTCCCTGTTATTTCTTTTTCAATTGTTTAAAAAACTAACACAGTAAAAAAAAAAAAAAAACCGGAAAGCGAAGGAGCTAGGGGGCGAGAGAGGTGTCTGATCAGCACACGTAAGGTTGTGGTGCAAATGGTTGGTTCAAAACTTGGGTTTCATCTCCTTTCTTCTCACCTCATCTGTGAGTCGTGTCGTCCCTCTCTTTTTGAGAATTCTCAAATACGACTCCAAAACACCTCTCACTAGTCTGGAAACCCGTGCGTGAGGAGTCTATTTTTGAGGCGCCTCAAAAATAGACTCCTCACGACTCCAAAACACCTCTCACTAGTCTGGAAACCTGCCACTCGCCTCTCACCTGTGACTCGTCTCGTCTCTCACCTGTGATCCATCTCTCACCTGTGACTCGTCTCTCAACTGTGAGCCGTCTCTCACCTGCCACTCGTCTCTCACCTGTGAGCCCTCTCTCACCTGTGAGCCCTCTCTCACCTGTGAGCCCTCTCTCACCTGTGAGCCCTCTCTCACCTGTGAGCCCTCTCTCACCTGTGAGCCCTCTCTCACCTGTGAGCCCTCTCTCACCTGTGAGCCCTCTCTCACCTGTGAGCCCTCTCTCACCTGTGAGCCCTCTCTCACCTGCCACTCGTCTCTCACCTGTGAGTCGTCTCCACTACAGGAAAGCTCTTGATCTCCCCGTCTCGCCCTCTCGCCACCATCACTGCCAACTCCTGCCATGCCCCATGCCCCATGCCCCGTGCCACCCATGCCACATGCCATGCCACCCATGCCACCCATGCCCCATGCCACGTCCCACATGCCCCACACCACATGCCACATGCCACATACCACACGCCGTATCCAATCAGAAACTGCGTATAAATTACGTGCGAGCCGCAAGCAATAAATACCATGAATGAACCATAATTGAAAAAAAAAAAAAAAAAAAAAAAAAAAAAAAAAAAAAACACCTTGGTGAAAGGAGCCCACTTCTCAGCATACAACCCTCGCTCAAAGCCCCCCAAGTCTGCGAACGTGACGAAAATGGGGAGCAATGACAGGGAAGGTGGGGAAATGTGAGAACGCAGGGAGGATGGTGGCAGGAAGGAGCCTGGCAGTGCAACGAGCAGAACGACCAACGGACCTGCTACAGCCTGCACGTCGTTGCTACAGCCTGCATGTCCCTGCTACAGCCTGCACGTCCCTGCTGCAGCCTGCACGTCCCTGCTACACCTCTGACTACCCACTCTGCAACAGTGTGCTACAGCTTTGAGTGCTACAGCTTCCACACGTTAGCCATGATAACAGAGTCAACTACTCGCCTGCTACAGCCCAGCTGCTACAGCTTGTTTGATATCTTGTTGCGAGTGCACGAAAGTATTGCCCTGGCCGTCATAGGCGTTCCTGTGGCTCTTGAGCATGCAGGGATAAGTAAAGCCTCCCCTGCCGCACCTCCCCTGCTACAGCCCACCTGCTACAGCTTGCTCAATGTCTTCCGATGAGCGCACGACAGCATTGCCCCGGCCGTCATATGCATTCCTGCGGCTCTTGAGCATGTAGGGGTATGTGAACGCGTCCCCTGCCGCCTCTGCTGCTGCCATGTCCGGAATCTGAGGGCGACACACGGAATGAGGTACGGGATGAGGTACGGGCACATGGTAAGGCATATGATGCCATGTCCGGGATCTAATGGTGCAGCATGGGATGAGGCACGGGATGAGGCTCGGAATGGGGTATGCGTGAAGAATCACATGGTGAGGCTTCGATATGAGTCACATCACATGTAGATATGATGTGTGCTGTACCACGTGAGAAGACATGCGACGAGGCAGTACTGCCAAGTTAGCAAGCAAACTAGCAGCAGCAGCAGCAGCAGCAGCAGCAGCAGCAGCAGCAGCAGCAGCAGCAGCAGCAGCAGCAGCAGCAGCAGCAGCAGCAGCAGCAGCAGGAGGAGGAGGAGGAGGAGGAGGAGGAGGAGGAGGAGGAGGAGGAGGAGGAGGAGGAGGGGAGGAGGAGGAGGAGGAGGAGGAGGAGGAGGAGGAGGAGGAGGAGGAGGAGGAGAAGGAGGAGGAGGAGGAGGAGGAGGAGGAGGAGGAGGAGGAGGAGGAGGAGGAGGAGGAGGAGGCGAATTAAGTCACACTAAACGGGTGAGCGAGAGCAAGGAGTCCAGCAGACGGAAGGAAGGAAGCAATGGGAGCAAGGGGAGGGAGCAAGCAAGGGGAGAGGAGAGGAGGACTAGGCAGAGAGGGCAATGAGAGCAAGGCGGTGGCAGGAGCGGGGAGGAGCAACTGACCGGCACGAAGTCTGGGAGAGGCACGCCGCGATTCCTGAAGTGAATCTTCTGCAGGTACTTGTCCTGGTGGCGGGTGCAGAGGGGTGCAGGGGGGTGCAGAGGGGTGAAAGAGGTGAGGGGTAGGTGAAAGACGTAAGGGAGGGGAGTAAAGGGAGATGACGACAGCAGAGGCGAGGAGAGAAGGGAGGAGGCATGGAGGCATGGAGGCATGGAGGCATGGAGGCATGGTGGCAGAAGCAGCAAAGAGGAAACTCGACTATTGCTACAAACACGCTGTGCTTTCTCTCAACATTATCATGTTTAGTTTGGATTTCGTTACAGTCACGCTCACCTGGATGACCCCAATGGTGGAGGGCTTGGGCTCGATGTCGATGCAGTCGTCGTCCTCCAGGTGCTGCAGCGCGTCCACGTTCACATGCTCGATCTCCACCGTCACCACATCGCTCCTGCTTGTAACGAGGACAAACAGCCACACGCACACTTCGAGCGACCCTGAATAACAAAGAAAGGCTGCCTGAAAAGTCGCCAGCTGAATAGTTGCTTCTGCCCAGCCATCGTTCACATAAGCAGATTTGACTCGCTTTGACTCACTTTGACTCACTTTGACTCGCTTTGACTCACTTTGACTCACTTTGACTCACTGCGAAGACCCCTTTGACTCACTTTTTCGCGAATTCTCGCACAGTGTCCATATCCTGGAAGCTTCCGACCACGTGGCGGAACGCCACTGGACGAGCCGGCGCGTCTGGCAGCGGGTCGAGCACCGCGACCTTGATCCCTAAAGGCGACGCCGCCTCGCACAGCATTCGGCCCAGCTGCCCGCCGCCCAAAACCCCCACAATCTGCCCAGAAACTCCGCGCCCCTCGGGCTCCCTCTCCCACACGTCCTCGTCGTCCGCCATTGCGACAGCGCCATTTCCCGCCGTTTCTTCCGCCGCCTCTTCCGCGATGAGCGCGGCGACGCTGCCGTTCAAGCTCTCGCCTTCCTCCGCAATCACCGCTCCCTCGAGAGCGCGCGCGACGAGTCGCGATTTTGCGGCGCGCGCGGGCGTTAGTGGGGTGAGCGGTACGCGGGGGAAGGGCGCGTGGTGCGCGAAGCAGCGCGACATCGAAGCGCTGGATGGAGTTAAGCGGGAAGATTCAGTGCGTGTCGTCAGAGGCTGAGCTCGGTAAAGCGCCGCGTGGCAGCCAAGCGAGGATGTGGCCATGGGGTTTTCCTAACGCCGAGCGAAACGAGGCAGAATATCCTCACAGGACCAAGTAGGCTATAACTCAGCGAGTTAGGTCGCGAGGAGTGCGCGGTTGAAGCGAGGAGGAGTGAGGTGAAGGGGTACAGCGCGTAGGCAGAGGTGACCCTAGACGCCAAGCTAAGAGAAGGGAGAGGAGGAAGTGGTGGTAGGTTTGAAGGACCAAGTTGTACATGGGGATTCACTTCGGTAGTATTGACTCACATGCAATATAAGATTCATCGTCTAGGTGAATTATGGGTTTGGAAAGACGCAGATTAGCCTCCGATTGAATAAAATTTACTCCGAAGTCAATAGCGAAGCGAAGCAGCAATAGCGAGTTTCTTCCCCTCACCGAACCTCTCCAATCACAGCAACCGACCGTCAGAAATCACTGTGTTGGCTACAGTGTTCGCGCGGATTGATGCTCGCCGTCACCCCAGCAGACTGAGCACGCTCAGGGAACTGGAATTGTTGCGTCTCGGCACCAACCAGACAGGGGCGCAGTCGGTCGGGCAGGCAGCTGTCTTCTTTGCCTGGGGCCATCTCAGGAGAAAATGTTCTCGGTGTAGAGTAGGGCGCACACAGGTGGTCTGGTCGGGCAGGGAACAGCTTTCACAGGCAAGGGAAGAAAGTTCCATTTCTGCAGACCGAACAGGTTGTCTTGTCATGCCTGCCCACGAGAAAAAGGATTCAAAAGTTCGCGCGAAAACGGAGGGGGAGGTGTGACCAGACCAGCCAACTTTCTAGGTTGCCCCGACAATGGGACAAGGTAAAATCTATGACTTCAGATTTCCTCATTCCGAGGAGGTTTTCGGCAGTCTTAGAGCTTGCTGCCGCCTGGCTTCCTTGCTTGAAGCATCCCGGACATTAGGGACGGTGGAGGAGCATAGAGCAGTCCCTGCGTGATTGGATACGCCACCGCTCCTCCGTTGTACCCGTCTTCGCACCACCGCTCCAGCGTTGGCCCCGGCGCCATGGACATTCGTGTAAAATAACTTATCAGCAGACGCCTTTTATTCTGGACGGAGGCGCCTCAAAAAGAGACTCCATTCATGTAAAGTAGGTTATCAGCGGACGCCATTTTATTCTGGAAGGGCCCATGGCGGCCCTTCGTGCGCGAGCCCATGAAGGCTGGCCGGCGACGACCCGAAAACCTTTCCGAAGGCGTCAACACTTCTCCCGTTTCTTTATGTCCGCGCATTGGGCCCTCCCGATCCTCGTCGTCAGCTGCTTCACTATACAAGGCACCGTTACAGCCACCCCCGACTACCGCGACGCTCTATCGAAGGCTCTCCTCTTCTTCGACGGCCAGCGGTCGGGAAACCTCACCAGCGCCGCGATCAAGACCAGGACGACGTGGCGCGGCGACTCCGGCCTTACCGACGGCAAAGCGCAGAAGGTGACGCGACCCTTGGCGACTGGTTTTTTAGAATTCTCAAAAATCTCTCGCAGTGCCCTTTGAGTCGACTCAAAAGTCACCGTGGCAAAGCGCAGAAGGTGACGCGACGCGACCCTAAGCCTCCCCCGACTCTAAGGGAAACGACCTTTTCAGCCTCCCACTGATCCCAAACAACCAGTCGCAAAGACTGCGACCTCCAAAACCGCGCAATGCTCCCTTCTCGCCGTTACTGCCGCTTGGACGCGACCGCTTCCCCTGCAGTTTCAACCACGCGTCTTGCCCTTCCCGCCAATCCCCCTTCACCTCCCCCAGCCGCCCTTCCGCGCACCCTCAGCTCCCCGCTAGCCCCCCCTAGATCGTCTCCCCCAGCCGCCCTTCCGCGACGCTCCCCTGTTCTTCCCTCCCGATTCCCTCCATCCCTGCCATTCCGCTGTCGCAACCCACTTTCTCTCACGTCCCCACTTCGTTCCACCGCCGCAGGTCGACTTGGTCGGCGGCTACTATGACGGCGCGGGGAACGCTAAGTACGGCCTGCCTCTCGCCTTCTCGTGACGTTCCCCCAATCTTTCCCCCAATCTTTCCCCCTATCTTTCCCCCTTTTCCCCCTTTCCCTGATATCCCCCTTTCTGTCCGCAGGTCGACTTGGTCGGCGGCTACTATGACGGCGCGGGGAACGTTAAGTACGGCCTGCCTCTCGCCTTCTCCCTCACGCTTCTCTCCTGGGCGGCTGTCGACTACCAGCAGCAGCTCGCCGCGGTTAGCGGCCAGCTAACCGCGGCGCGCGATGCGATCCGCTGGGGCACGGATTACCTCCTTAAAGCGCACTCGGGGGCGAATGAGCTCTGGGTGCAAGTAGGCGACGGCCCGAGCGACGACTTGTGCTGGCAGCGGCCCGAGGACATGACGACGGACCGCACCGCGTACCGCGTCAACGCGACGCTGCCGGGATCCGACGTGGCAGGCGAGACGGCGGCGGCGATGGCGGCGGCGTCGCTAGTGTTCGCGAAAGTGGATCCGGCGTATTCGTCGCTGCTGCTGAACCGGTCGCAGCAGCTGTTCGCTTTCGCGGACACTTATCGCGGGGTGTATTCGGACTCTATCCCCATCGCCAGGCGGAACTACCCCTCGTGGACCGGATACGAGGTGAGACGGCATGGCATAGTGACATGTGGTGACATGTGGTGACATGCGGTGACATGCGGTGACATGTGGACATGTGGGTGAAACATCCCTTCACGCCCTTGGGCTCCCGCTTCTATCCAACCACAGGACGAGCTGGCGTGGGCGGCGGCGTGGTTGTACCGAGCCACAGGATGGTCGCAGTACCTGGAGTTTCACACACCTGAGGTGGCGAAGTCGAGGGGCGAGCAGCTGCCGGGGTGATACGTCCACTCACATCCTTCGTTTCTCTCCTTCTATCCCATGGAATATAAGGTTTGTTTTGAGACGTCTCAAAACAAACCTTATATCACGCAGCTGCCGGGGTGATACGCCCACTCACATCCTTGGTCACTCTCCTTCTATCCCATGGCAGGACGAGCTGGCGTGGGCAGCAGCATGGCTACACAGAGCAACGGGATCGAGCCAGTACGTGGACTATTTGGTGGCCCAAGACGAGCAGCTGCAGGGGTCGTCGCAGTCCTCCACTGAGTTCAGCTGGGACGACAAATTCGCCGGCGCGCAAGTGCTCATGGCAAAGGTACGGTGCCTGTCCAGACCGCCACCCAGTCCAGCAGGGATGGTAAATTCGCCGGCGCGCAAGTGCCCGTGGCAAATGTACGGTGTCTGTCCACACCACCACCCAGTTCAGCTGGGACGACAAAACCGCTGGCGCGCAAGTGCCCGTGGCAAAGGTGCGGACTATGGTCCTGTCCCGTGTTTGCCTTTTGAGGCGCCAGTCCTTTATCCCCGTACCTCCAAACTCCGCAGGGACGACAAGCTCCGCAGGGACGACAAGCTCCGCAGGGACGACAAGCTCAGCAGGGACGACAAGCTCCGCAGGGACGACAAGCTCCGCAGGGACGACAAGCTCAGCAGGGACGACAAGCTCCGCAGGGACGACAAGCTCCGCAGGGACGACAAGCTCCGCAGGGACGACAAGCTCAGCAGGGACGACAAGCTCAGCAGGGACGAGAAGCTCGGCAGGTTCTCCTGCAATGCAGCGTCGGCGGCGGGGCCTCTAATCTGAGCACACCAGCACAGATGGTGGTGGAGGGGTACTGGGCCATGGCTGACTCACACTGCCCCTCTCCTCTCCCGCCATCCCGCCCTCTCTGCTTGTGTGTTGCCGCAGGTTCTACTGCAAGGCAGCAGCGGCGGCGGGGCCTCTAATCTGAGCTCGGCAGCGCAGATGGTGGTTGAGGGGTACCGGGCCATGGCGGACGCCTTTGCGTGTGCTTACATGCCCGACAACTCGCTGCACTCCATCTACGTCACCCCTGGTAGGAGTCTGGCTGGCCCTTTCGGTGTGCGTGCATGTCCAACCACCCGCTTCACTCCTTTTGAGTCGGCTCAAGGGTGCCTTCGCGTGTGCTTACATGCCTGACAACTCGCTGCACTCCATCAACGTCACCCCTGGTAGGACCCCCTGGTAGGAACCTGGCCCTTCTCGTCCCGTGTACAGGCGTGCTTCTGCTTCGATTTGAAAGCAGGGCCATGGCGGATTGGCGGATGCCTTCGCGTGTGCTTACACGCCCGACAACTCGCTGCACTCCATCCATATCACCCCAGGCACCCTCGTCACTCTAAGTTCAATGCTACAACGCACTCCCCCCATCCGTCCACTCCCCCCATCCGTCCACTCTCCCCATCCGTCCACTCTCCCCATCCGTCCACTCCCCCCATCCGTCCACTCTCCCCATCCCTATACTTTCGCTACCCTCTACTCTCCCTACCACCCGTCTCCCCCCCAACTTCTACCCTCACCCCTCTTCTTCTTTCCCCTTTCACCCACAGTCGGTCTGCTGCACTTTCTTCTCCGCCCCCCAAGCGGGCTGGTACACATTGCACCTCTTACGACCTTACTCTCCCTTCCCCACCCACCCCTCCCCGTCTCTTCCCCTTTCCGCGTTTCCCACCTCCCCGCTTCCTTGGTTTCCCCAGGCGGTCTGGTGTACGTTCGGTCACGCAACAGCCAGTACGCCTCGTCAGCGGCGTTCCTGCTGCTGCTGTACAGCGACTACCTGGCGTCGGCCAATCAGACGCTCTCGTGCGACGGCACGAAGTACACCCCACCTGACATGGTGGCGTTTGCACAGTCACAGGTAACATTCGATTTGATGACAGATGGGGGAAGATCCAGTCACAGCCCACCCTCCTCTCCCTTGCTCGCTCAGATGGGTTTGAGGTGTCTCAAACCTGTTCCCCTAACTCCGCCCTCCCTCCCCCTTCATCTTTCCTTTCCTCCCCATGCCCACCAGGTGGATTACCTTCTGGGCGTCAACCCCCTCAACGCGTCCTACATGGTTGGCTTTGGGCAGTCGTACCCGCAGAAGCTGCGCCACCGGGCGGCGTCCATCGTCTCTTTCAACGCGGACAGCACACCGGTTACGTGCGAGGGCGGCAAGTCAGAGTGGCTCATGAGCGCTGACCCCAACCCCAACGCGCACACAGGGGCAATTGTTGGGGGGCCTGATGCCGTGAGTGATTCATCTGCCTGCCAGCCTGCCTGCCTGCCTGCCTGCGTATTGGGTCTGTCTCGCAGCTTGCGCTAGATCGTGCAAGTCAGAGTGGCTGATGAGCGCGGACCCCAACCCCAACGCGCACACGGGAGCCTTTGTTAGCGTCTGACTCACTGTTTGGAACTGATTGTGCTAGTCTGAGTGGTTTACGAGCGCTCATGAGCACCCACCACAACCCCAACTTGCACACCGTAGCCTTTTTCGGGGGCTGCCTTGGGGTGAGATGTCTGTCTGTCCGTCTGTCGCCCTCCCTTTTCATGCCCTCTCGTTCTCATTCTGACTCTCCTCTTCCCCCCTTTCCTCCTCTTCCGCACCCTTGTCCCATTCTCTTCCCTCACAGGTCGATGCATTCTCGGACGATCGCCTCCTAGCAGCCTTCAACGAGCCGTCTCTCTTCACCAACGCTTCTGCCGTTGGGGCTCTCGCCAGATTCGCTGCTGGCGCCCTCCCCAAGCCTATGCTTTCTCACTCTGGCTCTGCTCCTCCTCTTCCACCCCTCTTGCTTCCCCGTCCGCGGTCCTATCTCCTTGCTTACCCCCCTCACAGGACGATGCATTCTCAGACGATCGCCTCTTAGCAGCCTTCAACGAGCCGTCTCTCTTCACCAATGCTGCTGCCGTCGGGGCTCTCGCCAGGCTCGTTGCTGGCGCCCTCCCCCCCGGCCCCTCCCCCCCTCCTGCTCCGCCCTCCCCTCCCATTCCGCCATCCCCACCTCCCGCTCCCCCCCCTCCCCCTCGCCCGCCCCAGCCCCCCCCTCCTCCCCCAAGCCCACCGTCGCCCCCGCCTTCTCCCCCTCCCCCAGGTACATGACCCTCTTACTCTCGTCCTAACGCGTTTCTTGTGTCTGCTTTTTCAGTTTCTTCCTGCTCCCGTGCACCTTGCTCCATGTCGCTATGCCTTCCAACACCTTCCCTCCCCTCCTCCTCACCAACGCCTTCCCTGACTGGGGTTGTCATGTACCTTATTCCCAACCCCCTTCACTCCCGTCTTCACTCCCAACCCCACCTCCCTTTCCCCAGCCTCCCAGGTGACCATCACTTGCATCATATCCGGCGGCTGGGTGGCGGACGGCAAGGAGGTGGCGCAGTGGGGGTGCATGCTCAGCAACACGGGCGCGCTCTACCCGGTCACGGGCATCTCGCTGCTCTGCTCCGCCTTCCAGCCACAGCAGTACTGGAACATCGACCCCCTCGCCTGCGCCCTGCCTGACTGGGCCCGGAACCTCGGGCCAGGGGGAAGCGCGTCCTTTGGGTTCATACAGGAGAAGGCTGTCACGCCGCAATTTAGTGTTCTGGGGTATTTCTCGAATGCACCCCCGTCGCCCAGTCCGGATGGCGGGTCTTCTCCCCCACTGTCTTCCTCCCCTCCCCCGCCCTCTCCCCAGCTTTCGCCTCCTCCTCCTCCTTCTCCCCCTTCCCCCACGAGCTCCCCCCGTCCCCCTCCCCCTACCTCATCCCCCCCCCAGCCTCCTCCCCCTCTGCCGTCCCCTTCTCCCCCACTGCCAGCCACCACCACCCCGCCTGCCTCACCCTCTCCCTCCTCCTCTCTCTCTGTCGAGCACAGCCTGCTGTACGAGTGGCCCCCTGATGCTGCAGCTTTCAACATCACTATTACAAACCCCTCTACCAGCACTGCTGTTGCGGTTACCATATCGGTAACGCTGCTTGTTGACGATCCTCCGATCACCAGTGTCTGGGGGCTGGCTTCTGCGGGCAGCAGTGGCATCAGCGATTTGGGCAGGATGAAAATCGTGTCATTGTACCGGGTGGCGGCGAACCTGCTGCCCATGCTGCCTGGTGAGACGGCCCAAGTGGGGTATATCAAGTCCGGGCAGCCTGGAAATGTTTCGATTGCAGAGGTGGTCTGGTTGGAGCAGTCTCCTCCTCCCCCTTCCCCTCCTACCAAACGCCCCCCTCCGCCCCCTCCTACCAAACGTCCCCCTCCCCCTCGGCCTCCCCGCCCTCCTCCCCCTCGTCCCCCTCGCCCTCCTCCCCGTCCCCCTCCTCCTAAACCCCCCCGACCCCCTCCCCCTCGGCCCCCCAAGCCACCTCCCCGACCCCCACCCCGCCCTCCCCTGCGCCCTCCCCCAAGACCCCCCCCACGGCCGCCCCCCCGCCCTCCCCCACGCCCTCCCCCAAGAACTCCTCCCCCCAAAGCAGTGTAGCTTGTGAAGGCGACCAGATGCTGCTAGGGTTGAGCAATGCTGAATGCTTATACTGAGGATAGTGTCATCGTGGAATTAGGTGGGAGGTGTGCTTAGTTGGGGATGTAGACACAAAGATTGGGCCATATCTTTAAGGCTTGGGAAAAGCTGTCTGCCATGGTCACGGAAGACAGTGCAATGTGTCAACATATTTATATATTGTAATAGGCTAGATAGGTGCATGCTCATAGAGAGTACAGCACCATAGCACAGAACCTGCCTGTATGCCTCATTCTAGATGGTATCAGCTAGGTTAGCTCCGCCCACCCGTTCTTCCGCCCTAGCCGACCTAGCCCGCCCTAGGCGCTCTAGCCCGCCCTAGGTGCTCTAGCCCGCCCTAGCTGCCCTAGCCCGCCCTAGCCACCCTAGCTCGCCAGCCCCGCGCTCGTACGCCCCTCGCGCGTCGGCCCTGCACCCGTCGGCCCCTCGCTCGTCGGCCCGGCGCCCGAAAGCCCCGCACTCGCTGGCCCCGCGCTCGTCGACTCCGCGCTCGCTGACCCCGCGCTCATCGGCCTCGCGCTCGTCTGCCCCTCGCCCGCCAGCCCCGCGCTCGTCGGCCCCGAGCTTGCTAGCCCCGCGCTCGCTGGCCCCGCGCACGCTGGCCCTACGCTCTCCAGCCCCTCGCTCGCTGGCCCCGCGCTCGCCGGCCCCTCGCTCCCCGGCCCCTCGCTCGCCGGCCCCTCGCTCGCCGGCCCCGCGCTCGTCGGCCCCCTCGCTCGTCGGCCCCGCGCTCGCTAGCCCCGCGCACGCCGGCCCCGCGCTCGCCGGCCCCTCTCTCGCTGGCCCCGCGCTCGCCGGCCCCTTGCCCGCCTGCCCCGCGCTCACCGGCCCCGCACTCGCCAGCCCCGCACTCGCTGGCCCCGCACTCGCCGGCCCCGCGCTCGCTGGCCCCTCGCTCGCCGGCCCCTAGCTCGTCGGCCCCTCGCTCGCCAGCCCCTAGCTTGCTCGCTGCCCCTCGCGCGCTCGCTGGCCCTAGTTCGAGCCGGCCCCCGTTCGAGCCGGCCCAGGTCCCGCCAGCCCCTGTTCCTGCCGCCCCAGCTCGCCGTGTCGCCGTGCCGCTGGGCCGCCGTGTAGCTGTGCCGCCGTGTCGTCGTGTCGCCGTATCGCTGGGTTGCCTTGTTGTCGTGCCGCCGTGTCGTCGTCAGCCACTACGGCCGTGGTGATGGCGGACGCTGTGCTCCGCCTGGACACAGAGGGTCGGGCGATCAACTTTGAGGCATGGCTCGCTGACCTCCGCCGTTCGCTGTGGGGACAGCGCCAGGATGGCCAGTCTCTGGCCGTCCACGTCGATGGTAAGCTCTCCTGCCCCGACCCCCCTGCTTCCCTGTCTGACACCCCCACGCCTGCCGAGCATGAGGCCTTTGCAGCTGCTGAGCTCGCCAGCTCTGTCTGAGAGTCGCGCGACGCAGTTGCGCAGCTTGCTATTTGTCGCGCCCTCCCCCTGTCCGAGCGTCCCCACATTCAGACCTAAGAGACAGCGAATGAATTCTTAGATGTTGTCATTGCACGCTACTCCACTCCCTACTCCGCCTTTGACGGTCGTTTCCTGTTCCCCATGCTCTTTCCTGTTCTCGCGTCCTTCTCCACTGTCGATGACCTGGCCATTCATCGGCGTGCGCTTGAGGCTAGCTACCGCGCTGCTAGCACAAAGGCCCAACTCACTAAGGCCCTTACCGAGTTCGTCACCACCCTATCTGTAATAGAGACCTGCCAGCGCTCTATCGCTCAGTCCAGCGGTACTACAGCCGTCCCTGTCTTCCAAGGCTGTTCTCCCTCCCAGTGCACTTACTCTGCATGTCTGCCCATGTCGCTGAGGCAACCCCTACTGCTTAGACCGCTGCGGCAACCTCAGCGCATTCTCGTCAGGGTAGGGGCCGCCGCCCCAAGGGGGGCGTGGCGGAAGGAGGGGTGGCGGCAGTGGCGAATGTGTTGCGGGTGCCAGCGGTGCCGACGAGGAGACTAGGGCTGATGCCCCGACGCAGCAGCAGTAGTCGCAATCGCAGCAGCAGCAGCAGTAGCCGTGGGGACCCCCGCCGCCGTGATGGCCAGGCGTCTTTGGTGGTGGCGATCGCGGTGGCGGCGCGCGCAGCTCGGCGTCGGGTGGCGGCTCCAGTATGGTGACCTGCCAGTACCAGCTCCAGACCGGCCCTCGTCGCGACACCATGTGCGACCGTCCCGGTCACACCGCCGCTCGCTGCTACCGCCGCCTCGACGGCCTCTTCCGTCTCCGGTTCGGCCTTGCGCCGGACCTCCTTGACTGGAACGTCACCGCGAGCCGATCTTTGAAATGGATATGGATAAGATGAATGCCATGTATGCTGATTACTCTAGTGTCACTGGACCCTTTTACCCAATGTTTCCTAGTCTAGGTGAGTCCACTGTGTGTAGCCTAGGTTTTCCTGCTACGTAAGGCGTAGGATCTCCTGCTGTGTTTAGCCTAGGCTCCACGCTAATGCCCTCGCCGGCTTACGCTACTGCCGCGCTCTCCTTCACGCTGGACTCAAGTGCTTCTGCCTGCTTCTTTCGCGACCACACTACGCTTATGCCGCTTGCCGCCCCTGCCGCAGTAGCGCTTGCTGACCCCTCCTCAGGTCCAGTAGTTGCTTGTAGCTCCACCACCCTTCCCTGTCCGACGGTTCCCTCGGGCCCCCTTACCAGCTTGCACATCCCCTCACTTTGGCCCGGTGTCTGACCAGGTGTCTGTCCTGTACCGACACCGCGTCCCCCCAAGAGGGGGCGTCCCCCTAGGTGGCTGCGTCTACCTAGGTCGCCGCGGCTTGCTCGTGTCGGCCGCTCACTCACCCGTCGCTTCTGTGGCACCACCGTCTAGGTCATCCCGCTCTCCCGTATCTGCGTCACATGTCCCAGCATGGTCTTGTCTTAGGTCTCCCTGCATCGCTCCCTGCCCTCCCTCCCTCACCCGCGCCTCTGTGCACGCCTTGCGTCGAAGGCCGGCTGCGCCATGCTCCTCACTCCTCCTCGTTTCGCCCCACCACTGCGCCACCCCAGACCCTGCACCTGGACGTTTGGGGCCCAGCCCCCATCCCTAGGTCGCGTCGAGAGCGCTACTTTCTAGTGCTTGTCGACAACTACACGTGTTGCACCACGGTTTTTCCCCTGGAGCGAAAGGCCGACATGCCTGACGTTCTTGTCCTGTGGGTCGTAGCTGCGCGAGTTCCCTGCGGCCTCCGTGTGCTGCGTCTTCACTCCGACTATGGCGGCGAGTTCGCCTCCGGCCGGCTTGGCCAGTTCTGTCGTGCGGAGGGCATCACCCAGTTGTACACCCTGTCGGACTCCCCGCAGCAGAATGGGTTCGCTAAGCGACGCATCAGTTTGGTCAGAGAGGTGGCTCGTACCTCCATGATCCATGCCGGTGCACCCCATTTTCTGTGGCCGTTCGCAATTCGCTATGCCGTTCACCAGCTTAACTTGTGGCCACACTCCCAGCGGCCGCACGTTTCGCCGACCCTCCTCTGGACCAGGTCCCCTGGTGACGTATGTGTGTTCCACGTCTGGGGCTGCCTCGCTCACGTTCGTGCCTCTAGAACGGACAAGGTCACTGCCTGCACTGTCCCTTGTGTCTTCCTTGGTTTCTCCCTAGACGCGTCTGACTGACACTTTTACCACCCGCCATCTCACCGTTTCTTTCACTCTCGTGATGTCACTTTTGACGAATTTGTCTCCTTCTACACCCGCTTTCCCCACTGAGGTCTCTCGGTTTCCCCGCCCCTATTTCTGGTCCCCACTCCCCCAGTAGCCCCTGATCCTCTCCCTCCCCGTCCTGCCCCATCTGGTGTGTCTTACGTCACTCCCCTCCAGTCGGTTGGCCCGGTTGAGGAGTCGGCTGACTCTAGGGGCCCTGCGGCTCCGGTTTTGCCGCCTTTCTCTGCCCCTGTGTCTCCTCCTCACTGCCGCAGCAGCAGCCTTTATCGCCGCTGCAGCAGCAGCCGCCATCGACGTCATCACAGCCGCAGTCGCCGCTGCAGCAGCCACAGCCGCCTTAGGGGTCCGCGAGCTGTAGGAGTGCTGGCGTTGAGGAGGGTGCTAGTCCTGGGGTTATTGTCGTGGCTTGTCCCGGTAGTCCTGGTAGTGGCACTGATGCTGGAGAGGGTTCTAGTTCTGGGGGTGCTAGTTCCGGGGTTGCTAGTCCTGGGGGTACTGTCGTGGCTTGCCCCGGGGGTCCTGGGGGTGGCACCGGTGCTGGAGAGGGTTCTCGTTATGGGGGTGCTGTCGTGGAGCGTCCCGGAGGCAGCCGTGGTGCATCTGGAGGTTTTGGCGTCAGCGTGAAGCAGCAGCAGCAGTCGTCGCCGGTGTTCTTCCTTTGCCTCCTGGGTCTTCCCTCTCCTAACCGCTTGCCTGTGACTCCCGCGCCGCCGCCTCCCCCGCTTGTCTACGGCCCTGTGTTTCCTCCGCCAAACTTGTCCCCATCTCGTTTCCCCCCTCGTTCTCATTCTCTGTCTCCTCCCTTGTCTCCTGACCCGACCCCCCCACTCACACTGGTGGTCTTACACCTCTCATGCTCGTCCTATTTCTCCTCTCCAGCGCTCTCACCCTATGTTGCTCCGCTCTCACATGTCTCTTGCTCATATTCTACCGTCGCTTCCTCAGTCGTCGCTTGTTGTCTCTCCGCCTCCTCTCTCTGACTTCCTCGGTGCCACTAGTCTCCTTGTTCCTCACGTTCTCACCTCTCTTGTTACCAATCCGTCCGTTCCTGTCTTGACGCTCTTGTCACTGCAGTCATTGACTTTGCCTCTACCCGCCGCCTTAACTACGCTACAGCTCTGGTCTTTGACCATGCCCGTTCTCCGTCCATTCGAGGTGCACCTGCACCAGGCTGTGACATCCTAGAGGATGGGCAGTACGAGCTGTTTTCCTGTCCGAGGCCGTGCCCCATCTCTGCTCCATGCTGCTAGTCCCTGAGGGTGACCCAGACGCCCTTGACATCCCAACCCCTCACACTTACTCTGAGGCGACGTTGCGATCCTGGGCCTCTCAGTTGATAGCTGCCATGGACGTGGAGATGGCATCTTGGAGATCCACCGGCACCTACATCGACGTAGTTTCCCCATCTGGGGTGAACGTAGTCGACGGCTGGTGGCTCTTCAATGTGAAGTGCCCTCCTGGAGAGCCGCTGGTTTTTAAGTCGTGCTACGATGCTAGATGCTTCAGTCAGCGCGAGTGTGTTGACTTCTTTCAGACCTTCGCCCCGACCCCGAAGATGACTACTCTTCGGGCGTTGATAGACGTAGCAGCACAGCTTGACTACGAATTGCACTCCTTCGACTTCTCTACAGCATTTCTCCAGGGCAGTCTGCACGAGCAGGTCTACCTGCGCCATCCGCCAGGCGTGAATGGCACGGGACGTTGTGTGCTACGTTAGCTGACCTACAGTGCTTCACGTCGTCTGCAGACCCTTCGCTCTTCGTTCTTTCAGGCTAGATCCCGTTCTACATCCTTGTGTACGTAGATGACCTGGCGGTGGTTAGCAGCAAAGTTGCAGTGACGGAAACAATTGTCCGTGTGTTTTGCATTAAGTCGGGTTTTTAGGCTTTAAGACCACCATACATTAAGCCTAAACGTTTAATGGTGGTACGATTTGGGAGGGGCACATAGTGGATGTGTTCACAGCACAAAAATCCATAATAGTGCATTGGATCTAACACATATCACAGAAGATTAACAAATGGTACATATGGACAAATAGTTCCAAGTAGAGAGAGCAAACCTCAGAAATATGTTTCTGGTACATAGCCCACCGACCTTTGGCCTTGATCACCATCCGCACCCTCCTATGCATGTTTCCTACGAGGTTAGTGCAAACCTTGGCAGGGAACTTCGTGCACTCTTCCTGGACCCACCATTTTGCATAAGGGGGTGAGCACTTGGAAATTCGCGAAAAAGGTTGGGCGTAGGCAAAAGTATTATGGACGATTTTGGATCAAATGGTATCTCTGAGACTAGCCATGCTAAGGTGTGGCCAAAGATGCAAATAGCCAGTCGGCCCCATCTTGTCACGGATCGACTTCGTCATACCGTTGTAGGGTAAAATTACGAATAGAGCGGCCAAAACTAGCGTAGACAGCGCGAAACATAGGGTAACGTTGCACGGTTAACTGTGCACCCTCGCACCATTAAAATCACACTAGGGTCTGCTGGTCTAGTCACGGTGCAGCAGTCTTAGAAGCCATGATTGTTCTGGAAAAACATCAGGGGTCAGCTGCAATTCGTGGAGTCGCATACTGAGTGGACAATTAATGTTCGAAAGCATGTGATATGGTCAAATGGAACAAGCATCAACTACATTAGCTCCAATGTCTGTGCATATGCCTGTCTCCGTGAAGGCACAACCCTGCAACAACACCAAATCAAATAGCCCGTAAACTATGGGGACAAGGATTGGTGATGGTGAGGGGATGTATGAGATGCGCGAGGGTGGGGATCATATGCAAGATTGACGGGCGCATGGACAGGCCTGTGTATGAGGACATTTTGCACAATGAACTCGAATTGACCCTCGATTTCTATAGGATTTTCCCCCTTGAGGTCATTTTGGTGCGGACAATGACCCTAAGAATTTGTTATGCCTAGTGCAAGAATGTTTTGGAGAGCATAAGCATGTAGTCATGGAGTGGCCTTCTTCCTCATCAAACCTCAACCTTTGGGCTTACCTAAAAAGGGAGCTGGCCAAGCATAAAAGGCCTTCCTCTGAAATGCGGGAGCTTTGAGACCTGGTACAGGAAATGTGAGAGAAGATCCATGCCGAGGTTTGCTCTAGCCTCATCGACAACACGCCTCGAAGAGTGCAGGCAGGTGGGCTAGGTACCAGAAATGTAGTTCTGAACTTTGCTCTCTCAGCTTGGAACTAATTGTCCGGATGTTCCCTTTATATATGTTTTGGGATATGAGTTAGATCCAATGTACTATTCCGGATCTTTGTGCCATGAACACATCCACTATATGCCCCTCCCAAATCGTACGATCATTTAACATTAAAGCTTAATGTATAGTGGCCTTAAAGCCTAAAAACCCAAATTAATGCAAACCTTACGGACAATTGTTTCCGTCACTGTAGCAACAGCAGCGAGAAGCGCTGAGACGGTCTTAGGAGGAACAGTAGGGTCAGCGATAAGCGACGAAAGCAAACACGAATAGGTACGACTAGTAGTGCGAGTAGAGTCAGAGGGAGGAACAGATGACTACGGGAGCAAATACGGAGGAGGTAACGGAAGCACGGGGACTGGAGGAGCATGTGAGCGATAGACCATATGGTGGACGCTAGGACGGGAAGAGACATGACGAGCACCAAGGGAAGACAGACCCAGTCGTGAAGAACATGTGACTGGGAACAAGGGGGAAGGGGGACAAGTCAGGGGACGGAAGAGAGCGAGGGGAAAATGAGCCGGAGAGGAGTATGGGGGAGAGAACAGCGGGTCGCATACAGGGGCACGCCACGCTATGTTAGGGTGTGCTAGGCGGAAGCGTGAGAAGAGGGCGAGACCTAGCTCTAAATGCCATGTTAGATTGTCGAGAGAATGCTGGACGACGGAGAAATGTCGAGGGTTACAAAAGTAGGGTTGTTCCCTTTAAGAACTAACCAAACTAAGGCTATAACAAATATGAAATAGGTGTCGTGGCACTGGGATAGCCCTTCCGATCCTCCTCTATCTGTACGGAGGGTGGTAGGGAGGCTTTCTATGGGGAAGGTGGATATATGGAGCCTAACACTCTTGAGGACATCCCTTCTTGTCCGAGTGCTTAGGACTGTTGACTTTATGACTCTAGCTGGCCTAGATAAATATATTTGTTGACATATAACACATACATTTACAGCTTTTATATATTCACTACATGTATCATCTTGTTCTTGTTATCCAAGCCAATGTGTTGGGAATGTTTTCTCCTTAGCATGCCCCCTTGACCGATTACGTGCCTGCATCTCAAGCAAAACAAATCAAGGTTGTTTTGACAAGGCTAGCATGATTTCACATTTACTTTGTTGTCCAACCTCATCAGGAGCAGGGGTAACCCAAGAAACAAAATATCGGCATGTCCATCACACGGCGGAGCTTTTATGATGCTTCACTCAGAGAGGGAACGTATAGAAAATCCCCTAAAAATGTTGCATCATAATGTTTTAAACATGATGGTGAACCTCTTTTTCTATACCTTGGGAGGACACATCGTGCGTATAATGAGGAAACTCTGAGCATATGCGGATTTGTGTCGCATCTGCCCCCTGGCCAAGTTGCCAACTGGCAAATTCCCCTATGGAAAGTATTGTCCCATCGCTGGTGGTGGTGACGACGAGAGGACTGTCAGGTAGAAATGATGGTGGTGAATCCGCACTCAATGCATGTGAGGAATTTTAGTTTGGATCCACGTTTTCTTTGCACTGCTGACATTCAAACGGAGTGCACGGAGGGCACAACAAAGTTGCCCGGGACGTAGCTGGTGGGAAGAAAAGAGATGGTAAGTGTGGTTTGCTGTGCGGGATGGGGGAACTCCACCCTCATATCCCTTCTACCCAAAATCCCGTTTGGCTTTGTTTTATGTTCGGCGTGTTTTATTGCTCATGAGCATTCTGGAATTCTTTCATTTCTGGAAGGGCAGGAGAAGGCCCAATTCCGAAAGTAGCGCCAACAAGCACGTTTCAAAACCACAACTACCATGAGCGACAAAGCCCCATGTTCCAACAAGAAACAATGATTTCTCGGATTTCCCCATGTCCCCAGCCCATTGCGTTTCCGCCGCACATACCCCCCAACCCCAATCCCCCACCCGCCCAGCCCTCCATCCTTCCACTGCTCTCGCACGACCACTTCCCCCTCCAGCGCATCCGCCAGCTCAATTTGATGCGCCTGCGCCACGTAGGCCCGCTGCTGCGGTGACGATGTCGCTTCCGCGCCTGGCACTGTACTCCAGCCAGCACATCACACATGTTTCCGGAAACTGCCCAAAAAAATCCCAGCACTAAAAGTTTGTAACGCAGACAGCACATGTGTGTGCGCGAGTGTGGATGTATTTGAACAAAATGGGTTTCCCGGGCACGATGAACCTGGCGAAAAGAAGCAATACCCAGCGGTTAGATGGTCGGAACATAACCGAAGAGTACAAACGAGCGGAACGGTTGAAGTGCAGCGGCAGTCCGAGACTAGCCAATGGCGAGGCCGCGGGGCCCTCATCCACAGAATCTCACAAGCTAGGCCAATGGCGGAGTGGCGGGCGGGAAGGGAAGAAAGGAAAGGAAGGAACCCAAGAAGGAACGAAAGGAACCCAACCCAACCCAAACCTGTCTCTTGATGTTCCTTTCCTCTGCGCACAACGGCGCTGCCCCATCAAATATGTTTCTTGATGTTTTCCAACTTTCCCTTCCGCGTCCACCCTCCCCACCACCCACTGCCCCCTTATTACCTGTCATGGCTGCCTGCAGCACTGCGCGCACAGTAAATCCAGTGCTTCCTATGTCCCCTTCGTTGTCACACGTAGCCATGGCCTCTGCCTGTCTATCTCTCGACGCGAGCCTCACGCGTCAATGACCCTTTCACGAATATAAGTACAGCGCTACGTGAGCGGACAAGCCAGTTCTGCTGGCAGCGAGAGGCACTTTGATCTGACGACTTACCAACCACCTTTTCCACAGACCCACACTGTAGAATCAAAGCTATTCTGGAGGACAGATAGCACTGAGCTAGTAGCTTGTCCACCTTTCCCAGGCCACAAACTGTCCGCCGTTCCCCGCCTCATTTTCCGCATTTTCCCCGCCGTTCTGCAGGACAGATAGCACTGAGCACCTTTCCACCTTTCCCAGGCTTTTCTGACTCAGCAACTTGAAACCTTAGCGAAACTCCTTTCGAACGTAAGCTCTCCCGTCCCCGTCCCCGTTCCCTTTCACTAGGCCATCTCTCCTACTGTCTCAGCAAGCTCACTCCCCAGTCGACGAGGGACACACAGATCGAGCGCGAAGAGCGGCCAGCAGATCGAGCGCGAAGAGCGACGCGCAAATGGACGACATCTCGCCGAGCGTCGGCGCTCGCGACGACAGCACGTTCTTTGACTCGACGGCCGACTGTCTGCCGCTGGAGGCTCCCGCGCAGCGGAACTTAGTGCCGTCCTTCGCGCAGGATAGAGACCTAAGTAGCTTCTACGACCAGCTCATGCAGCAGAATGACCCGCCGCCGCCGCCGCAAGTGCCGTCAGCTGCTCCGCAGCAACAACACCAGCAGCAGCAATTTCAGCAGCAGCAGCAGCAGCAGCAGCAACAGCAGCGGCAGCTTCAGCCGCCGCCACACGATGCCTCCGCTTCTGCCGCCGCGATGCGCGGGCGCGGCAAGCACGACTCCCCCCAGAACGTGTCGGCCGAGTCGCTCGCCGCGGCGCTCCTAGACCCGTCGTCCGACGTCGGCAGCCGCATTCGGTGCTCCGGCGTCGGCGCGCTAACGCCGTCCGAGCAACAGCTTTTGCTGGCGGCGCTCCAAAAAGAAGCCCAGGGTCTTCCCCAGGGACTACCCCAGGGATTCCCCCAAGGAGGCGGAGGGACAGCTGTGGGATCGTTTCCGCCATTCGCGCACGGGCCGGCGGGATCCCCGGTGGAAATCGCGCGCGCCGGAGTGAGATCCTCTGGCACATCTCCGGCCGCTAGCATCGGCGAGTATAGCGGCGCGACAGGCGCCGGCGATCTCGGCGCAGGCGACGCCGCCAGAGGCGGCGCGCACCGGAAGTCAGCGTCGTTCTCCGTCGGCCAAAGAATCGCCGCAACCTCCGCCGCGATGGGCGCCGAACATTCGTCGCTAGCTTCGGGTGGTGGGCTACGGTCGCGACGCGGTCTTCCGGATCTGCACCAAGTCAAAGGCTCGGATATGGTGGCCCTCAGCGGCGGCTCGGGAATGCCGCGGGTTACCCGCCCGAGTCCCACAGGGAAGCGCGACTCGGAGGGAAACCTCGTTGTAAGCACGCCGGGGCGGTACACGATCGTCGGAGCCAGCCCGCGCGGGCCGCTTCAAGTGGCGGAGGCGCAAGGACTAGGCGCAAGCCCCCTTGGAGGGGGCAACGGGGGGTCGGGGGACAGCGCGCACCTGTCGATCAGCCCGGAAGCGGTTTTGGCGGCGGAGCTTTCGAAGATCGGCGTGTCGCCCGCCGTCATTGCTGCCGCGACTGGCGCGGCGGGTCAGCTGGGGAGCGGCATGGCGGACGCGTCGGTGCAATGGGGAAGGGGGAATCAAAACCCTAAAGCGCGGGGAAGCATGGGGTCGGGGAGCGGGGGGGCGGAAATGGGCAAGAGACACGCGGGCGCAGGGGTAGTCGCGGGGATGGCGGGGCTAGGGGGGGGGTGGGGATGTTCCCGGGGCAGGACGACAGCCCGCCAGGGGGAAGCGGAAGCGTTTCGAGCGGGCGCAGTCAAGCGGCGGGCGGGGGGCAGCAGCATTCCGCGGGCGGGGGACAGCAGCTACAGAAGCAGGGATCGGGGTCAGAATATTCCATGGACGCGCACACAGAAGGCGCTTTCGCTCTAGGCGCCAGCGGCAGCGGCGATGGCAATGGCGGTGGGGGAGGGGGAGGGAGTAGGGGGGACGCCAACACGCAGAGTCACGCGGCCGGGTACTCTACAAAGCCGAGGAGCGTGGCGGAGCGGATGAGGCGGGAGAAGATCACGTCGCGGCTTCAGAACCTCAAGGAGGTGCTGCCTAAGATGGACGCTAAGACTGACACGTCAGCAATGCTGGAAGACGCGGTGGTTTACATTCAGTCGCTGCAGGCGCGGTGTAAAGCGCTCGAGCGGCAGAACGGTGCGCTCTCGCAGCAGCTTCGGGAGATTGGGGTTACACCAGCAGTCATCAGTAACCCTTCGTTCAATCACCAATAATAAACAGTACCGTGTGCAATACGCGAAACGTCTGGCACCATGTATGAAGCTTTGCATGAAGCTTTATGCGGTATGTGAAGCTTTGCGTATGAATCGGCGTACTGTATCGCTTTGGAAGAAACGGGCACCATGCAGACTCAACAGCATGCAGTTTGCATGATCTATGGGCTGTTTCTGCAACTGCTTCATTCTTTCATAGCTGTTTATTCTCATCCTTGCCATTGTGAGGGTGAGGTTCATTCAATCTAGATCAGCCCATGGTCATTACATAAGTGGCTACAGCTGGTGATATGTGTGGTACAGTACTACCGTAATTGTCGACTTAGACATATATTTGTATGTAGAAGTTATAGATTAGATATGTTAGTGTTCTTAGAGAGTACAACTCCAACCCTGTATCTGCCCAATACTCTTTTGTTTCTAGTCATTCTCGTATTCTAACATGGTATCATAGTAGGTTAGGTCTGCCCACCCGCTTCCACCCCTCGCCCTAGCCAACAGTATCAAACCTAGAATTGAATAATGTGAGAGAGAGAGTACACAAACATATACCTAAATGTTGTACTCTCTAGAAGGTGACCCTATACAGTCTATACAAACATGATAACTACACATGTTTGACACACCCCCTGGACTGCATAGGGGAATGTTCTAGACAAGTAGCTCAGGGTGGCACTACTAGTCCAGCCTCTGAGACAAGGGTCTAAAAGACCAGTCAGAAGGAGTACAGACAAGGCAAGAACGAGTACAGGGCGGCACTACTAGTCCAACCACTGTGAGAGGACACAAGTCCAGTCTGAGTGTATACATATATATATATACGACAGTACAAAGTCAAGGCCCGAGTAAGTGAGAGACTACAGGAACCAGACCAAGCTGTAAACAGTGCCGCTGATGATCTTTAGGCGCAAGCGCCTTCGTAAAGATATCAGCTGTGTTGGCACCGGAGGCCAAGTGTACTACGCGAGCCTGGCGCCGCTGCTGTAGCTCGCGCAAGAGGAAGTACCGCAGCTGGATGTGCTTCGCTCTGCCCTCGAGTCGAGGCTCCTGACACAGGCGAATCATGGCCCTATTGTCAGCGTACAGGACCGGGGCAGAGCTAGGCCGCTCACCTAAGTCAGTGAGCAAGAAGGTCAGCCAGCGGAGCTCCTGTGCCGCCATGGCACCGGCGTAGATCTCAGCCTCACAGCTGGACTGGGCAACCGACGAGGAGCGGGTAGCTCTCCACGAGACAGCACCTGAGCCAAGGCTAAAGCAGTAGCCCTGGGAAGACCTGAGCGTCTCGGCGTCGTCTGCCCAAGAAGCGTCTGTGTGTCCAGTAAGGACCACTGGCCTGCGTCCGCCTAGCACTAACCCCATGCCCGATGTACTTGCAAGATAACGCAAAACCCTCTTAGCGGCAGACCAGTGCTGAGGTCGGTGTCTGCCTGTGGCCACAAAACGAGCCAGGATGCTGAGAGGGTATGCGAGATCTGGGCGAGTGCAAGTCATCAGGTACATGAGGCAACCCACTAGCTCAGCGTAAGGACCACTGGGATCTACCGACTCCTCAGGAACTGGAGCGGAGAGTCTGTGGTCCAGAGGAAGAGGGGTGGGCTGTGCGGAGGAGAACTGAAGGCCGAACCTCTGAAGGACCTGGCGCACCAAGTGTGACTGAGTCAGGGTGATGGTGCGGGCGGCTCTGTCCCTGGAGATCTGCAAGCCAAGGTAACGGTGCAGCTCTCCAAGGTCAGTGCAGGTGTGTCTCTTCAGCAGCTCTGCCTTCACGGAGGCCAGTGCGTCCCTGTCAGCTGTGGCAAAGACCAGGTCGTCTACGTAGACGAGGATGTAGAACGGAGTCGAGCCAGCACGAACGAAGAGCGAGGGGTCTGCAGAGGACGGAAAGAACTGCAGGTCAGCAAGAGTAGCACGCAGCGTGTCGTGCCACTCACGAGGCGCCTGGCGCAGGCCGTAGACTGGGCGCCGCAGAAGCCACTGGGTCCCAGGGGGGAAGGTGCCAGTAAAGCCCTGAGGACGACGCAGGTAGACCTGCTCGTGAAGGCTGCCCTGATGAAAGGCAGTGGAGAAGTCGAGGGAGTGAAGCTCGTAGTCACGCTGGGCCGCTACGTGTAGCAGAACCCGAAGAGTAGTCATCTTCGGGGTAGGAGCGAAAGTCTGAAAGAAGTCCACCCCCTCGCGCTGACTGAAGCCTCTAGCCACGTAACGCGCCTTGAACGCAGGCGGCTCTCCAGGAGGGCGCTTCACCTTGAAGAGCCAACGGCCATCGACCACGTTCACCCCAGGTGGGGGAACTGCGTCGACGAAGGTGCCGGTGGATCTCCAAGATGCCATCTCCTGCTCCATGGCAGCTATCCACTGAGAGGCCCAAGGTCCCGAAACCGCCTCAGCGTAAGTACGAGGGGTCGGGATGTCAAAAGCGTCTGGGTCACCCTCAGGGACTAGCAGCATGGAACAGAGATGGGGAGCAGCCTCGGACAGGAAAGCAAGCTCAAACTGGCGGTCCTCCAGGACGTCACTGCCGAGGGCAGGAGCACCCCCGACAGACGGAGGACAGGCAGGGTCAGAGACCAGAGCGGAGGAGTAGTCAAGGCGGCGGGTAGAGGCGAAGTCAGCGACCGCAGCGACAAGGGCGTCAAGACTCGACACGGGAACAGACGGGTCGGTAACGAGAGAGGCAAGGACCCGAGGAACAAGAGGACGAGCGGCACGAAAGTAGTCAGACAGAGGAGGAGACGCAACGACAAGAGAGGACGGAGGAGGAGACGGGAGGAGGGGAGGATGAGACGCGTGGGAGCGGAGCAACATAGGGTGAGTGCGCGGGACGGGGGATACAGGACGAGCACGGGAGGGGCGGCGAGACCAGACGTGAGAGGGCGGCGTCGGGTCGGGAGACAGAGGAGGGGACACGGGTGGGGAACGAGGGGGAAAACGAGCCGGGGACGAGTCCGGCGGAGGGAACACGGGGCCGTAGACGGGAAGAGGGGGAGACGGCCGGAGAGGAACAGGCGCAGGGTCAGGGGACGGAAGGCCGAGCAGACGGAGGGCGGACACCGGCGGGGACTGCTGCTGCGGCGACACAACACCAACGCCAGGGCCACAAGCTGCGCGACGGCTACCTCCCGAACCCTCCACACCGGCACCCCCAGAAGGGACACCCCCAGAGCCCGAAACACCGCCAGCACCGGTACCACCCCCAGGCCCGCGGGGACAAGCCACGACAGGAGCCCCGGGACGAGTACCCACCTCAACTCCAGCACCCCCAGAGTCCACAAACAGCGGCAGCGACGACGGCGGTGGCGGCGGCGGCGGCTGCAGCGACGGCCTCGACGGCGGCGGCGGCGGAGACGACGGCTGCAGCAGCTGCGGCGACGGCGGCTGCGGAGGCGGTGGAGGAGGAGACACCGGGGGAGGGACAGACGGCGAGGACTGCGCCAAAGGACTACCAGAGTCAGAAGACTCGTCGACCGGAACGACCGACGGGAGGGGGGTGACGTGAGACACACCAGAGGGGGCCGGACGGGGGGGCGGGGGGGGGGAGGGGCAGGGGCCACAAGGGAGGGAGGAACCAGGAACAGGGGGGGAGTAACCGGGGGACCACGGTGGGGAAAGCGGCGGAAGAAGGAGACGGACTCGTCAAAGGTGACGTCGCGAGAGTGAAAGAAACGGTGAGACGGCGGGTGGTAGAAGTGCCAGTCGGACGCGTCAAGGGGGAAACCGAGGAAGACGCAGGGGAGGGTGCGGGCAGTGAGCTTGTCCGTGCCAGAGGCACGAACGTGAGCAAGGCAGCCCCAGACGTGGAACGCAGACGCGTCACCAGGGGACCCGGTCCACAGAAGGGTCGGCGAAACCTGCGGCCGCTGGGGGTGCGGCGACAGGTTAAGCTGGTGAGCGGCGTAGCGCACGGCGAACGGCCACAGAAAATGGGGTGCACCGGCGTGGATCATGGAGGTGCGAGCCACCTCCATGACCAAACCGATGCGTCGCTCAGCGACCCCATTCTGCTGCGGGGAGTCCGGCAGGATAAACGTCTGGGTGATGCCCTCCGCACGACAGAAGCGACCAAGGACACCTGAGGCGAACTCGCCACCCCGGTCGGAGTGGAGGCGCAAGGCAGGGAGACCGCGGTGGAGACGAGCAGAGACAAGCCAGGGGATGAGAACGTCAGGCACGTCGGCCTTCCGCTCCAGGGGAAAGACGGTGGTGTAACGTGTGAAGTCGTCGACAAGCACTAGGAAGAAGCGCTCGCGACGCGGCCCATGGACCGGGGCTGGGCCCCAGACGTCCATGTGCAGAGTCTGCAGGGGTGCGGTGGTAGGGGGAAAAGAGGAGGAGTGAGGGGCACGGCGGAGCCGGCCCTCGACACAAGGCGTGCACGGTGGGGCGGGGGATGAGGGAAACTCAGGGAACGAACCGGGGAGACCAAGGACGAGACCGTGCTGGGACATGTGACGCAGACGCGGGAGTGCAGGGTGACCAAGGCGGTGGTGCCAAAGGAGAGTCGGATGAGTGAGGGACCGACAGGAGCACGCAGCAGCAACCTGGGTGGACGCAGCTACGCGGGGGGAAGACCCAGCCGGGGACGTCGCGGTGTCAAGTGTGAACAGGCCGGACACCGGGTCCCGGGGGAAAGTGGTAAGGGGGGCACCAGTGGCGGCCTCGGTACAGACAGCATACCGCTCGTGACCAGGGAACGTAGTGGTGACGCCAAGGTCCTGGAGGCAGCCGACACCAACTAGGTTCCTGGAGAACGAGGGGATATGCAGACCGGTGAGCGAACCTGAAGGAACCGCCGGACAGGGAAGGGAGGTGGAACTGCGGGCAAAGACGGGACCACCGGAGGGGTCAGCAAGAGTAACTGCAGCAGGAACAGGCAGCGGCGTCAGCGTCGTGGAGTCGCGGAAGAAACACCGGGAGGCGCCAGAGTCCAAGGTGAAGGAAAGCGCAGCAGTCGCGCGGGGCGACAGTGAAGCGGTGGAAGCACCGAGGCTAAGCAAAGCAGGAGATCCTACGCCTGACGCAGCAGGGGAGTCTACGCTAGGCACAGCTACACTAGGCAACACGGGGTAATAAGAGGGGAGCACACTAGAGTCATCGGCATACATCACATGCAAGGCTGCTACAATGGCATCCATGTCCAAGTCAAAAATCCGAATGCTACGCCTAAGCAAGCTGTGCCAGTCCGGGAGGTCGGGCGCCGGGCCAAAGCGCTGGCGGAACAGGTCGTCCAGACGACGAAAACAGCGAGGAGTGGAATGACCGATCTTACCGCAAACGAAGCCGCGGCGAGGACCGGTCTGGATCTGGTACTGACAGGGACCGCCTCCAGAACCACCACCCGGTGCACCACCACGCGCACGACCACCACCAGCTCCAGGCCACCCAGGCGGGAGAGCACTCGCCGGCCTCGTCTGCGGCGGCTGCTGCG